GATTTCACGCAAATCTGACATTTGCATATTTGCGCAATATGAGGGGTCGATTTTGCGCAAATCTGACACTTGCATATTTGCGCAATATGAGGGGTCAAGTTTGCACAAATCTGACATTTGCATATTTGCGCAATATGGGGGGTCCATTTCACGCAAATCTGACATTTGCATATTTGCGCAATATGAAGGGTCCATGTCACGCAAATCTGACATTTGTATTTTTGCGCAATATGACGGGTCAATTTTGTGCAAATCTGACATTTGTATTTTTGCAAAATATTTTCAAAAAGTCTGACATTTGTATATTTGTGCAACATAGGGGTTGATTTCACGCAAATCTGACATTTGTATATTTGCGCAATATGAGGGGTCAATTGTGCGCAAATCTGACATTTGTATTTTTGCGCAATATGGGGGGTCCATTTCACGCAAATCTGACATTTGTATATTTGCGCAATATGAAGGGTCCATTTCACGCAAATCTGACATTTGTATATTTGCGCAATATGAGGGGTCAATTTTGCGCAAATCTGACATTTGTATTTTTGCGCAATATGGGGGGTCCATTTCATGCAAATCTGACATTTGTATATTTGCGCAATATGAAGGGTCCATTTCACGCAAATCTGACATTTGTATATTTGCGCAATATGAGGGGTCAATTTTGCGCAAATCTGACATTTGTATTTTTGCGCAATATGGGGGGTCCATTTCATGCAAATCTGACATTTGTATATTTGCGCAATATGAGGGGTCAATTTTGCGCAAATCTGACATTTGTATTTTTGCGCAATATGAGGGGTCAATTTTGCGCAAATCTGACATGTGCATATTTGCGCAATATGGGGGGGTCAATTTTGCGCAAATCTGACATGTGCATATTTGCGCAATATGGCTGTTTTAGATATACCATAACCCAGCCTTAACTCTAATGGACTTGCAAAATCATGGGTAGAATGAACGCTAGCATCATACCCTCCTGGTGGGTCAAAGATAGTCATCGAACAATAATTCGAGAAGAACATGGTCTAACCTATTGTATAAAGGGGAGCCATTAAGCTCAAAATAAATGCGAATCCAGATGGCCAGCCGGCCACTACAACTGATCATGAGCTTCGAGTGTAATTGGACAATGACACATACAGTTGGTGAAATCCCCTAGCGCGAAATTTCCACTGTTTCGATAATCAGGTGGCGTTGCGATCGGAAGCGCAATGATGACTATGAAGCAGAGGCTATCGGAGGATTTGAGAAAATGATCATGTACGGACTCCACAAAACCTACGATGCATTCACCAATGTGAATAATCTCTGTAGCCTTGCCAAAACCTTGGTACCAAAGCTCACGAGGACAGCTTGTGACAAAACCAAAGCTGCGTATATACCACTATAGCAAACAATATGAAGTGTGTCGTATCTGCATGAGAACAAGCTTACTAGAGCTGCCAGTTGGTAGTATATGCCTCGTCAGAGGAGGCAATACTGATCGCTGCAGTGATTTGAATCGTACAAGCCCAGCTTGCGGAAGCTAACCCAACACAATCAGGGAAAGACTGTTGAAAAAATGAAACCTCTTTTACCGACTGCTGTGATGACCTCTATGGTATTGGAATCTGCAAATGTCAGGACTGGCTGTATGTCACATCAAAATGCAAGACTTACAACCAACTATCCACGACAGAAAATTACGGCATCGTGGAGAAGCAAGCGAGTAAGTCCAATAGTATAACTAGATTGTGTTGAGTCAAATGTGAAACAGCAACAGCGCCAATGACATACACCACCAGAAGTAGGGGCTGCTGATGCAAGCTCTGCCATTGCCAACCCGATGCACATGATAAAGGGGCAAGCAACTGCCCACTGCACACAAAGGAAAAGTGAGATGTTTACCAAACAGCAATCTTCATGTGTGATAAAAGCTTACACCCCAAACCATGGCGAAAGGCCCACCATTTGGTATGGCATAGAAGAGCACGGAGCTGAACGATTTTTTATTATTAATGGTGTAATTTCAATTGGTTATGTAGTGACGGCTTACACTAAAGAAGGAACCACTCCAACATAGCTGAATGCAAGTCCAGCCACCTGCAGTTATTAGCTTGTGTCGCGTACACGGAAGAGTCTAAAGCTCACCTCTAGCGGTGTGAATTCCCTGTGAAACTCCTGCTTGTATCCTAGCTTGGCGAGAGTCGTCTCATCTGCACTTGGTTGCAGGTGCGCCGCCGAAATCGCTAAAGCTCTCGGAGCCACCATATTGTGCCGTTGCAGGTGGGCGATTTCGAATGAGCCTGAGCCAACTGATCAGTATTCAAAGAGATTAATAGTCAACCGGGAATCAGAAAGAATCACACTCAGTATCCACATTAGGTGACTCTAACGACCGAGATGTCCTGACTAGGATGCATCCATGTGGTCCTGTGGAATCTAGTCTGCGATCTAAACGGAAATTGAACCAAGAGATAACTGAAATCCATCCTGACTTACGATCTCAACTGCGGATGCGTAACCTATCTGTACGTCAATTAACCAACCAACCAGGGTGGGTCGAACAATCGGATATCAGCGAGGACTTGAGAACACTAAGTCGACATCCAGACACGGACCTCATGCGGGACAGGTGTGGTCAGGTAACAGAAGCCCGTCGTGACCTACACCATACTTCTGCTATCAGCAGAATAGGTACACCTGGTTCTGAAATTTTATTGCGTGCTCCTCAGGCTGTGTCCTCCCGTAGCTTTCGGAGATGGGCGTAGTCGCGTGTCAATACCATGGGACTGAACAACAGTGAAATATGTCCTTGCTAGCTCTGAGTTATGGTGAATGGGTTCCGTGCAATGTCTAGGGTCACTGAGAGTCGGTCGGCGGATGTGCACTGCGCGCGCACTTTCAAATTTTAGTAATAGTAGCAGTGAACGCTGGACACGTCCGAGTCAAAATCACGTGGATGATATCGGCGACCATTTGAAGGAACAAAGTGCTTGCACTTGGCTCCATACAATAATATGGTATGTACGTACGTGAGGTATCAACTCATCCTTCGCGTGTGATCTAACTTATCAGTGAACTGGGGAAGCGCACGTATAACCATACAAGAGATAATCACGAAAACCAGCATAAAATGATTCTGCTATCACAGATCCGACAGTGCATAGGCCAGGCTTTCAACTCAGTATATATACAACTGACTGTCTTCCAAATATAATTGATAAGTATGTTATGAAAACATTAGTAAAAAATGGTAAGAATAGTCGAATCAATTTTACGCTAAGGGGGGCAATCGGAGTCCCCGAGCATGAAGCTTGGGGACTCAGACAAGAACGAACACATGACACGGCAGTGCCGGTCCGGACTTCCTAATCTCCAGTCTCCCCGAGTTGCTGCTGGACATATCGGAGATGTCAGACTCCAACACAGCACTGGCGAGCTCAGTGTTGACATTGAGCGACGACAGCTGAGACGGCAGCAATGGTGAAGGGCAGGGGGACGATAAGATATCCTTCAGTCGATGGCTGGATCTGGGTGAAGGTAGTTAAGACGAGCTTCAACTTGGTATCGCCCGAAGAGCTGATCTGGATCTCCCAACCTGCTAGATTTGACAGAGGAAGCAGAAGAGATGACAATGTCAGGGAAAGAGATTGGAGCAGTGCTGGCGAAGGTCAAACAGCTGCGAGGCGGATTGTAAGTGTGGCAAAAGAACGCATTTTATAAAGGTCGCGGGTGTCTAGTGACACAATGGGTGTGTTTCAACGTGTTCGCGGAAAAGACAGACTCGGATTCCAAAAAGTCGATATAGGCTTTCTAGGCACGAGGTGGATCGATGCTCATGTCACTATTAAGCACTCCGTAGCTGAATGTCCAGAAGTTAGTCGCGCTAATTCATGGGAAAGGCCTGGCCGCCGGATTCTATGCGCATAATACGTACCCTAGCGTGGATGAGTGGTCTTGATGGGCCTGTAGAGATCTTCACATACATGCAGGCTTGCTCTGTCCACTGTGCGTCACCACAGGTAATGTGGGATGTCAAATGAGATGGTATTTCATTCACAGTGTTGTCCATATGCAGTGAAGCATGGATAAGATTTATGGGAGCAAATGAAGTTTTAGAACGAACATTTACGAACATATATCCGCGGGCAAGACCGGGGACTGATTGTGAGGCTACGAGGAACTGCGACCCCCTGGAAAAAATTAATGCACACGAAGCCTACAAAAGCGCATGGTTGAGAAGTCTCTGCTTAGTATGTCGAAAAAATGAATGATAGAATTGGGGAAAGCGTACATACTCTAGTAGTGACGATCACTCTAGTAACTAGACTCTCGGCCGGGACAGTCATCCGATCATTCAGCCACCAATGATGCCATCAGATCTTGAATCTGCGAAGCCCAAATAGCCTTGAAATCTAGGCTGGAATATTCAAGTCTCAAGAGCATGGAGGAGCATCCAGGACATAAATCTGTGACCTTGGCGAGGCATGTGCCCTTGACCGTTCAGGAAGTGCACAGCTTGCGTCGCTGTTGGCTGCAGTAAACAGTCACAAATATCTTACATACAATATCCTTGTTCACTTGGCAAGGTGGCCACGAGTCCACGACATCTCAAACATATGCCTTCGCTGCCATCATTAGAGGCTTTTGCCAAGGTGCTTTTGTATCCCTTTATGATATTCAGAAGCCCCTGACCATACCACATAATCCGCAGGGAACTGCTGCTACCGTAGCTGGTGTTGCAACGCTAGGTCCAGCGCCTCCTAATTTATGATACTGCTCAACTGACCTCAATATATCTTATTAGGCTGCGGACTACTATATTACGGACAAAATTATCTCATTTACCCATCCGCTTTCCCTCCGGGCTCTCGCACAGGTGTGTTTGCTGAACAATTTGCATTTCACGCCAACGTAACTGACCAAACTTTAACAGAGGTCCCAGTGCCCACGGATTTTGGACTTGAATACCAGGATTTGCCCCTTGTCACTGAAGATGGGTTTACTCTACGGTGCTATCTTCTCATGCAACGGACAGAGATAAGCAACAGCCACGCTGCACAAATTGGCTACCCAGACCAACAAACGCATGAAGAGGTACGTAACGCTATCCTGACTCATATCTAGCAATTATCCACCCATTCACTCCTTATATCTGTTCGTCCAATGCAAGTTTGCATCTACACGTCCGACAGTTTTGATGTTCCACGGTAATGGCGGAAATCATGGTCACCGCATACCTCTCGCAAAAGTGTTCTACGTCAAAATGCGATGCAATGTACTCATGCTCTCATACCGCGGGTGCGCCTTCAATCCAGTCTATCTCGATTCTGGGAATCCCTTATTCATTCGTACCAACAGATATGGTCATTCCGAGGGTTCTCCATCAGAATCAGGCGAGGCACTGGTATCTCCAGCAATTTACTCCCTTTTCTGACTGCGTTATCTAGGCATACGTATAGATGCTCAAACAGCTCTCAACTATATCGCCTCGCACCCATACCTGAAAAAGACTCCTGTTGTCAGTATTCTTGACGCCACTTCCAAGGATTGAGCTGACTTGCTTTTGCATCAAGATCCTTTACGGCCAATCTATTGGTGGTGCTGTCGCTATTGACCTTTCAAGTCGAAATCCATCAAAGGCAATTAAATTTCGATTTTGCTTTCATACATATCATAATCAAGACTCCAGATCACGGCACTAATCCTCGAAAACACATTCACAAACCTCCCACGTCTCGTACCTAAAGCTCTTCCGCTTCTTGGCCCTTTTTCGTTCCTTTGCCATCAAAAATGGGACTCGGCTTCGAAAATACCTCTAATACCCCGGTCGACGCCAATCTTGATGCTGAGCGGCGTTAGGGATGAAGTTGTTCCACGCGAACACATGCAAGAATTATGGCAGATTGTTTCGCGGCGCCAGGGTACTAAATCCAGCGGCACTGGAAACAAATCTGACATGACTGAAGTTGGTAATGGGAAGTCGAGGTTCCTTGAATTCGAAGGAGGACACCACAGTGCGTTATTGTTATTTCGGTGATCTCAATCACGGTGTTTAATGATGGCATTTAGACGATACGTGTGTCCAGCAAGGATATTGGACTGCAGTCGCTGACTTTGTGGCAAGTTTGAGTCAGCATTAAAGGCCCCTGACACGGAGCTTGTGTTACCTGATACCATACAAAGTGACATGATCACCTTATGGCGTAGGACAGTTTTTCTTCTTCCTTTCCCTTATGTCACACATTCCTTCACAAACATGCATTCACTAATACATATTGTTTCACCATGAGGAAAGCTGCTTAGTTTTGTTCGTTATCATTGTAACAAGGAAAACAAAGGTCCAGATACTTGTTTTATCCTTCGTAACGATACGCAACCATCGCTTCTATTCGATGTACATCAGTGCTGAAGCTTCGCAACTTCACTTGCTGACTCTTGCTCGCCTCAATCGCCAGTGGATCAGTGTCGACCCACTCATCGGCAGGCACATCAGCGGAGTCGTGCGTATATGCAAGGATATTGAAGACAGTCGGTGTATCAATAATTGGGAGGAAGGTTACGGTTGACACGATTTGTTTGAGGATGTAGCGAATCTCGGCTTGGATTTCTGATTCAGGTTTTGCAGGTGTTCTTGTGGAGCAGGGTCAACCAACTGGGTACCGTGAACAGCGGGAGACTCACGGTTCGGCAGAATCTGCTGGTTGTTCAACGAGGTTAACATCGAACACCCATCGCTCAAGCGGTAGCCTGGTATCTTTTGATATAATGGCAAGTACAAGCTGCGTTACCGACCCGGTAAGTAGCCACTCTAAAGTCCGATTGAGTTAGAGTTATGAGAGATCGCGTGGCACCTACTATTGACTTGTTTCAGTATCCTTACATGAAAGTAAGTAAGCAAGTGCATGAAAATCAACATCGAATGAGATGCACCTGTCAAGGTAGTTCTCTAGTGCCAAGTCCTGAGTGACGAGAACAGTTTGGCCGTACTTCTTTACCATATGAAAGTCATCTGACGGGTATACTCCACGTTGGAAAAGAATTCTGTTTCAAGGCATGAAGTCGTGAGTTGAAGAGCTGGAAAGTGGCTTGAAATAACGCACGTGTTGGCTGCATACTTGAAAAACTCTGTGACGAGATTTGTGGAGCCTTTCAGAGTAATGGCCTGGCGTGTTGGTGCTTGAGATGTTGCCATGATGGTGCTGTTAGACAATGGGAGAGACAAATTTAGTAGCTGCTAAGTTAAACTTGATTGAACGCTCCCCAAGCGTGTTTTGTGACGCGGATAGATCACGTGGGGTTGTTTGTTTCTAAAGCTCTTGCCAAACATATATAATACTTATTCCAACCGTGTAAGCATTTCTAAATCCACTTTCTTCATTTCATATCGCCAAAGCTTCGGATTATTCATCACTAGCACACGACAATGCACGAAGCAGACCCAACGTCTCAATCGAATTATCTGCAAATCGCTACGAAGCATATAGCTTTTGATTGGACAGTTGATTTTGATAACAAGGTCATCACAGGCACCGCTACACATGACCTTATTGCAAGGATTGATGAAGTGTCTGAGGTGATGTGAGAATGATTGTCCATCTATCTATTTGGCACGATTTTTGAGCTGCCCCAGCTTCGATACCTCGTATCTGCACATCGAGGGAGTTAAAGTTGATGGAGATGCGATCCAAGATGTGCGCTCTGCGTCTCTTTGCTGGCGTGCTTTTCTGAGCGTGCATCATCTATAGTTCAGACTAGGTCCCAAGCATGAAGTAATGGGATCTGCATTGAGTGTTCCCCTTCCTCGGACCTTGAGTGCTGGATCGAGTATCTTGGTCGAGATCACGTACAGGACGACTGCGAATGGCACAGCCTTGCAATTCCTTGATAAAGAGTAGGCTTTTACTTACCATGTACGCATTATCGCTCTCCCGTTTATGTTCCTCTAGGCAGACCCAGGGTAAAACCTTCCCGTTCCTGTTCAGCCAATGCCAACCTATTTACGCGCGAGACCTCGCTCCTGTGCAAGGTGAGACATCTCGTCAATTTGATTCTGTGACAAAAGCTTATTACGCATGAACAAGATACACCGTCCGTGAAGCTAGTGGGTCTTCTCCGCTGATCATGCCTAGGCTTGTCATGCTGATTTCTGATCATCAGACGTACAGTGCCAGCGTCCGTTCCGTACTTCCAGTCCTGCTATCTGCGAGACGAATTTCCCCGCCCTCAGATGGTCCAGCTCATGATGGCAAGACCATCGGCAAGGACGAAGTCGTGTATAAATACGATCAGGCATGTCTCATAAGCCTATCATCACAATTCCGCTTCATGAGATATATGGCTATTTTCAGCCTACCCCGATTCCTTCATACCTTCTTGCGATCGCCGCTGGAAATTTGCAGTACAAGCCATTTCAAGTTCCTGATGGAAAACAATGGAAGTCTGGGGTTTGGTCTGAGCCTGAGCTTATGGACAGATCGTTCTGGGAGTTCAGCCAGGATACCTCCAGGTAAATGCGCATGAACTTCCACACTGCAAAAATGCGAGTCTCATTGTATGTCAGATTTCTAGCTGCTGCAGAGAATCTTGCCGGGCCTTACCGATTTGGGGTTTATGATCTCCTCGTTCTTCCGCCGTCTTTTCCTTATGGCGGCATGGTGAGTTACACGTTATTCCACACAATCGCCTACTCATTACTACCAGGAAAATCCGTGTTTAACTTTTGTGACACCCAGTGAGTATATTGCATGCTTGCATCAGACTGCCGACTCCTTTCAGCCCTTCTTGCTGGAGACAGGTCTCTGACGGGTGTGGTGATCCACGAACTTACGCATTCATGGTTTGGGAATGGGGTCACGTTAGTTTTCTGCAGCTTTCTTTTTTACATTTGCTGATGGTACTTTAGGCATGCTCACGCTTCTCACTTCTGGCTTAATGAAGGGTGGACAACTTATGTCGAACGTGTGCTGCTGCAGATCATACACTCACCTGCACACCGAGGCCTGTCTTCTGTGATCGGATACAACGCACTCCTGGATTCCCTTGCGTTCTTCAAAGACAAACCCAAATACCAAAAACTTGTTATCGACTTTGATTATGGAGAGAATCCGGATTCTGCATACAGCCGGGTGCCTTACGATAAAGGTGCCAATTTCCTCTTGCACATCGGTAGGTTGTATTTGCTTTATGAGGTTGTCTGTTAAGATAGATTGTCCCAGAACGTACGCTTGGTGGCCTTGAAGTATTCCTACCCTATGTTAAGGACTACATCGCTACTTATATGGGCCACAGTATCACCACGGAGACATGGAAGAACCACCTCTATGCCTACTTCCAGAAGAATGGCAGCGACGAACAGATCAAAGCATTGAACAGCATTAATTGGGATGTAAGGCCTGATAACTGATAGTTGAAGAAAATAACCGCTGAAATCGTCCGACAGGCATGGCTTCATCAAAGTGGACTGCATTTACCTGTTGAGATGGAATATGATTTGACCCTGGCGAATCCTGCAAATGCGCTTGCCGACCGGTGGTATGAATCACGACACACTATGGACATTTCGAAGCTAGATTTTGAAAGTTCTGATTTGGATAGCCTGGACGCTAACCAAAGAGGTGCGCGCCAACACGTTTTTATTGATAGTATCAGCTGAAGAAGGTTGCAGCTGTCTTCCTCGAACGATTGGAGAGTTACAATGAATCTCTCCCTGCGAGACACCTTTTTCATTTCGACGAGTTGTACGGCTTCTCGAAGACCCTCAGCACCGAAATTCGATTCAGATTCTATACCTTGGTGCTCAAGTCCCAGGCAGCAATGCATTTTGTTCAAGGAGCAGCAAATTGGGTCGTTGGGGCTGATGACACAGGAGTCGTTAAAGGCCGCATGAAATTTTGCAGACCTGTGTTTAGGGCGATGTTCAAGGTCAACCCCGACCTCACTATATCAACGTTCAGGCAGGCTCGGACGCAGTTTCATCCCATTGCGCAGAGTCTCATTGCGCAGGTACGCATTCTGTGAAGTTTGTCCGCATGTCCTTATCTTCGATCCATTAGGACCTTGGGCTGGACCTGACTGGACTGAGAGTTAGTGGATGACAAACAAAAAGCGTATTAATTATTGTATGGCTTGCGATCGCAATGGGATCTTGGCTAACATATGTGTACCTGTTGTATGTTAGGGTCTCAGATCGAGTAGCGCAGACAACCAAACTTGGTTTGCTTGGACTTAAGGCCTCAGATGCCCTCGAGGCCTGAGGCCTAGGCCCGAGTGCTGTCAAGCGCTGGACCTGAAACTAACTTGAAATGTCCTAAAATTTTAATATTGCCGAGTGGGGTTACCAGGGGCGGTCGGACTCGGGTCCACATATTGTAAGAAGAGTTTGAGTTTGTACTGAACAAGTACTCTCACTGAGTCGTCAATCACCGCTGTTTTTACATTCTTTCAATAGCATTCATGAAACTCACTAGCTTGAGATCTTATCTTTCTTATGACCGGTTTGGCGTCTCGGCTCCCTTCGACCCAGCCTGTAGGCTTGTGACATCTCCGTTCTTTTCCCCTCTGAGTCTCGGCGCACTTCGTCTGCTGTTTGCTATTTATTCGCTCGTTACAACAATCACCGTCCTCGTTTTTGAGTCTGTTCGTTTCCACGACGCTCGTAGGTAAGCAAACACCAGACTTGAATGGTCCAACAAATGGTCTGATTCAAAACTTTGTGACTGGCTCTGCTACCACAGTTTTTTTTCTTACTTCACCGATCTCAGTTACGTCGGCCTTGTCGCGTACTTCTGGGCCTCCAGCGTCCAAACCATAGTATTTGTGTTGTGGGGACAGAAGGCATACCCTTTACAAAGATGGCCGCGGATTCTACAACTCTTGCACGTCCTCCTGTACACCACCATCACTATATTTCGTGAGTTTAATATTTAACTTTTCAGTCCAAGTTTGAACGATATCTTGCAGCAATTATCGTGACTGTTGTTTTTTGGACTCTACTTGCTTCTTCATCGACTTTTAGCACCCAGTACTCAGGTGTGGACGGCGTTTGCTCATATCGGCTGCTATTGCTCATGACAGGCTATTCTTAGCTTGGTCCAACGTATCTCAACATGCTATGAATAGTAGCTTTGCTCTATTTGAGATACTCCTGACGAATGCCGGTCCTAGTCCATGGAGCCACATCGTACCGTGCTTCATCCTTTTTGCCTGTTACCTCGGTGTTGCGTATATAACACATGCAACGCAAGGATTTTACAGTAAGTTCATTTTTACATGGATCACAACAGCGCTGACGCCCACCATTAGCCTACAGTTTCCTGAATCCGTCTGTAGAGCATGGGCTGTTAGGTGCTTACATTGTCGGCATGGGCGTTGGTTACTGCATTCTCTTCACGATCGTGAAAGGTATTTGTACACTGCGTTGCCGTCTGGTTTCGCCCTCTCGTTTGGACCCTTCTGAACAAGTACAATCCGAAGCTATGGATGATTGGGAACACATTAATGTCGAACAGCCGAAGGAGTCAACTGGATCTGATGCTTGAGTATTTAAAACCCCTTTATTTATTGTTATCTTCATGGTTTGGACTGAGTTGACTGCTGGTAGTGGAATTTCCCTGGAACATCATGTTTGTTCTTATACTACGATGTTGGTTATGTATTATTATGCCATCGGTCTTCTTCCCCGCGGGGTTGGCTTTCGCACACGGATGCACCGTTAACGTTGTCCCTCCAGGAACTAGGATGCCGACTATACCAGGTCACTTGCCAGAACTTACCACGAGCTCAATTCTCTCAGCATGATTTTATAGTCACGTACAATGTCTATGATTGGTATATTCCGGATGCTGACTATTCTAGAGTCTTCATTTTGCTGATCAGCACGGAAGGCATGCAACCAAGATTCCGCGTTCTCACTGATGACATCATGGTCACACGCAAGGCCTGCCCTATCTCAGGCGCCAATAATAAACAATCAGGCGGTTTGAAGATACATGCTTGACGTATGACTAGCGCGCTCTTGAGCGTGAAATTTCAGGTCTGCCTTGATCCCTTGGGTCACGGGCATCAACTGATTACCACGAGGAAAACCTGAAGATGAAGTATGGTCACTTTCGGCAGGAAATATGACCCTCGTGATCTCATCGACCTGCTCATAAGCGGACCGTTGCAGCGGTAAGTAGGTGTGCGTGGTCTCCGCTTGCCAGGATTGTCGCAATGACCCTATGGTAGAACTTCCACTGATCGGATGTTTTGCGCAATATAAGATGACCTCGCGAACTTGACAAGTCAATACTTCTGCTCCATGGCGTTCCTACAGGGTGTGAAGCTTGCGTTTACATTGTTGACACTTGCCACGCCATCCTGGGCGGCTGGTGTAGCACCTGGTCAGATCAAGAACTTTGTCACTTTTGGTGACTCTTACACTGATTCCTCATACTACCCCTCCGCTGACGGAGGCTATTCCTGGCCAACATGGGCAGCCATGTACGGTGACCTTGATCTCTATGGATTTGCTCGTTCCGGTGCAACGTGCTCGAACCTGCTCACCTACAGACCCTTCCCTCCGATCATGGGTGAGTGAGCGCTAATGGTTTGTGAATGTTGTCCTCATCGCAGTGAGCGCCTAGGTTGGCAACTCCCTGCTTATATGAATGAGACGAGAAATGGCACGCTGGAATTGAACGCAAATGAGACGATGTATACCATCTGGATTGGAACCAATGATCTAGGTGTCAACGCGCTGCTTACCGGAAGCGACGCCCCCGCCACTTCAATTGTTCAGGTCAGGCAGTGCACCATCGATGTCCTGAAGATCTTGTACGAGAGCGGTGCTAGGAACTTCATTATGCAGAACGTGAGTGTACGAACGTTGGGCCACTGTGCCCTTGAGCTCACTTCTCGCGTACAGATGCTTCCCCTTGACCTGACAATCTTGTACTCTAATTACTCGTACCCCAACACTTATTGGAACCTGGAACGCAATACAACTGGATGGAATGTGTATATGAAGGAGCTGGTACGCGCAGGGAATGAAATCACATCCCTCATGCTCGACGCGCTTGTGCCTACGCTCCCTGATGCTCATATTGGTTAGTCGATATTACGATCTGATTCGAGTAAACAGCTGACGCGTAGAAACACAGCATCCTTTGACTCCTACGGGCTTTTCACAGACATGTATAACAACCCTCAGGACTATTTTAATGGCACTGCGCCATACAATGTAACGGGCTGCATACATTCATGTGTGTACTCTATAGGCAGCACGGCAGCACCTGCTTGTACAATCACCAATGGTACTAACGCAGACAGCTTCATGTGGTCAGTGCAAAGTTCGGTTCCAAATAGCGATCTAGAGCTCACTTGTCACTTAGGTACGACGAACTTCACCCATCGCAGCAGTCCGCCAGAAACTTGGCTAGGGAGATGACCGCAGTGATGATGGGGGAGCAAAACCAGTGGACGACATGGTTGAGCTAAGCACATTTGCAGAGTTTTACATTCACAACTAGGGACTTTAATGTTGCCCTGAACTCTTTTTGGTCTAGACTCGTGACCAGGGCTACGCCACTCGTTTATCCGTGGTAGTATACGCCAGGCTGGTCACGAGCCTATTTTTGGTCACCATCTGATGGATTTGGAGGCCCCCGGAAGCTCCCTGTGATGTTCGGCCGAAAATTTGCCCATTTGAGGCCCATATTTTGCGTTTTCCTTGTCCGTTTTTTTTTGCCTATTTGGCGCCTTGGGAAGCTCCGCACTCAGTGCTTCCGAGTCAAACACGTCAATGTCTGTCCGATTCTTTGTAGGCCTCCAGCCTCCAGCTGACCTTCAGCTATGTGAATCTGTATGATCAATGAGCGCTGGTGCTGAGCGCCAATCATCTCCAAGCTTATCTATTATGTTACTCGGCGAGAATCTACATCGCGAGGTCCGTTCTGTGCGGAACGTTCACAACTGTGATCTCTTCCCATTACTCAATCCTGGTCACAAATTGCCTAGTCCCATACTCAATGCTTTCGGGGCAATTATCCAGGATGTGAAAGAGCTCAAAGGAAAAACTCACTGCGGCATCGAAGGCATCTCACCGAGTGCGGCTTCACCAGTCGCTCCATGCACTATCTGTGAGTCAGAAGAAGACGGAACTACGGTGGCAAGTTGTTGCGCTTTTTGGCCTATTCCTGAAATTCTAGATTTCTCGGAGTTTTGTGGGGTTCGGCATCTCAGTCAAGCACGTCAGAAATTAGAATTGCTAAATAGGTTTGAAGGTGTCAGCTGCTGGAACACGAGACCTCGACTGTATCAAGAAGCGCTCATTGGCAGATAAAAGGAGACCAGGAAGAGCTAACCAATGTATACAACGCAAAAGCACCCGCTACATGGCTTCAAGTGCTTCGGACTGGCTTGTGTACTTGTCTTTCATCCTCGTCTTGGGAGTGATAAGGTATTGCTTGCGTCGCCAGAATAAATCTCAGTCGCTACCACCTGGCCCACCACCGAAACCGTTGATAGGAAATTATCTCGACGTCCCAAAGGCAGAGCCATGGAAAATATTCTCCCAATGGAGGAAGCTATATGGTCTGTCCTAAAATACCGTACCATTGGAGGTGTATTCAATACTGCAAGCAGGCGACCTCGTATACGTGAATGTTCTTGGGAACAAACTTCTCATCCTGAACGATATGGAAAGTGTGCGCGAGCTTCTTGAGAAAAGATCGCAGAAGTATTCTGATAGGCCGTCGTTTGTGATGGCTAAATATATGGGGATCGAGAACGTGAGCACACGCAAAGCGCTTCATGGCTTAATACTAAGTGAATTTGGACAGAATTTAGCGTTCGCTCCCTACGGTCCAGATTGGAGGCAAGGACGGAAGCTCGTACATGGAGCCGTTAACCAGGAAGCAGTCAAGAAGTATCACTCGCTGCAAGAGGATGTTACCGTCAGATTTTTGAGAAATTTGGTGGAATCTCCTTCAGAAGTCATGAAGCATCTGCACATGTGAGACCAGCTCATCAGCCCTATGTTGCCCTTATAACTTGGCATTACCAAGGGCCACGGCTCATATCATCGCGTCCATAACCTATGGGTTTTCTATCGACACCCCAAGCAATGTAGTAAGTGAAACCTTGGCCATCGGCTCCAAGCCTTTCCAACCGGAACTTGCAGTACTTCGACGAATTTGCCGAAACGGAGCGAATCGTACTGAAAAGCGTGGTTCCGGGGGCCTATCTGGTTGATATGATTCCTCTATGTAAGTTTTTAATGCTGAGAGACAACTAAACTGAAGGTGATACAGTATGGTATCTACCATCCTGGATTCCTTTCAACAGCATACAGCGAACAGCTGAGAGGGGCCTGCAGCGAGTGACTGATATCGTGCGCCTTCCGATGCAGCAAGTAGAACAGGATATGAAACAAGGAATTTCTCCCTCTTCGTTTGTTTCGGATCATTTAAGGGAAGGCGGGAGTGATGAAGTGATCAGGCAGCGATTGCCTTGGGTAGCGTGGTCACTGTATGAAGGTATGTTTTCACCTCATTGACTGAGAAGAGGGATAACATCGTTATTTGACTGCAAGCTGGAAATGATACAGTAAATATTCTACAACTCCGAGATATGCATCTATCTGACCATGCAAAAGACAAGTGGATCCATGCTGGTCTTCATGCATGCTATGGCGTGCTTCCCAGAGGTCCAGACCCGCATGCGCGAGGAGATATATAGAGTCATAGGGACTGGCCGCCTGCCATCTTTTGCTGACCGGGAACGGCTGCCGTATATTAATGCGGCAATTAAGGAGGTATACCGCTGGAAACCCAACACACCTTTGGGCGGACCAAGGAAATTACAAAATGCGGATGTCTATAGAGGTTTTTTCAATAATGAGCGGCGAGGAACATCTTTAACTTCTTGAGCAGGGTACTACATACCGAAAGGCACCATTATCATGCCAAATATCTGGTGAGTAGGAAAGATGAACTTACGGAATGTACTTATCCTTCAATATAGGTTACTCAGCCGGGACCAGGACAGTGGCATAGATCCTGAAGTATTTTCTCCAGAACGCTTTCTTGATACCCACGTAAAGAAAACGGCGATCGATCCTTATAGTTATGCGTTTGGCTTTGGAAGAAGGTAAGTATGCGTTACAATATTTAGTGAAACTCGTTGACACCTGCGCCCAGAATGTGCCCAGGGCGCTTTTTGGCAGATAATTCTGTGTTCATGCTTGTAACGAGTATCGTGGCGACCGTGCGGATTTCGAAACCCAAGGATAGCCGTGGCATGGAAAAACCATTTGATCCTCCATATATACCCGCAGGTCTAGCCAGGTGCGTCCTAACGAATAGCAATTAAGGGGAGCACTCATGTGTTTTCCGCGAAGTTTCCCTTATCCATTCGAAGTTGACATCGAACCGGTATCTGACAAAGCAGTGGCTGTCGTGAATGGTAGAGCGACGAGTATTGATTGAAAATTCGTGTATGTGTGGAGAGTACGAAAGCTCTGATGTACGAGACCAACCCTCATTTATGACGTAGTAGTAGCTTTCCTTAAGTATGGTGTCACAAACTTACGCGGATTTCTGATTTTGACACATGTCCATTCGTAATTGCATCGTGATGCCGAATAACCGTATCTAGCCGTTTACCGAACAAGCGGCGTTTCCAAAAGTGCAGCGGATTTGATTGTGCGCTGTACCAGTATTTTCTACTCGCGTTGAGTAGGGCACAGCTCGACTCAGAGCTGATGATACATCCCAATCTCAGTATACGCCGCGGAGCACGGCTAGGACCGAGGAAGGATATCGCAAGGGAAAAAGGCCTCTCGAGCCCATGCTGTACATAGGATGCTATTGGGGACCTCCAGGATGCTCCTTAATCGTATAATATCCATATTGATGAAGTACTTCCGTGCAGGCTGGAAAGGGTCAAGAGCGAAAAACTGCTAGCTGCGAAAGTTGAATGTTTCAAGAACCATGGAGAAGGGGCAGGTCGTCATTATAGAACTATGCAATGTCAGTGCAATGAGACGAGCGAAAGTCGATTTCAGAAATGTGGTCATTTTAGACGCTTTCACTGGGACGAGAAGACCCGGAAAAGCATAACTTGAAGGTGCCGGGAGTGATAGCACTAAATCATGAAGTGTATAAGTAGGATTGCGTGGGGTTTGAGAACAGTGACCGAAGCATTGTACCATATTACCAAGGCCTGTCCTTTGAAAAGAGGATTCTGGAGGCCACGATAAGTCGCTTCACTCCCGTTTTCCAGGGTTTGCACATAGCCATTCACGCAGACAATTGATAGCAAGACTCGAAGACTAGGCTAGTGTTGATCATAATTTAGTGAACAATCAGTTTTTTCGTTCATCTGGCAGTGCTCTTGTAAGAAATCCAATGTGAACTGTCACACTACGGTACCCAGCAATGGGTTCCCCGATCTGACTTCACATTCGCCACCTCAGAACGCTCCCCACTAAAAAACCTTGGCCCAACGTCAGCGGATGACAAGAGTCAAAACAAATATCTCACAAACTCCTAGTCCACCCACGATCCTTTTGCCCACTATACTCCCCGGCGCATTGGGACGAGCCATTCTCAGTGCATAGATGCCAGTGGCAGCGAACGCGCCGCTTCCTATGATGCGACAAGTCATGCAGTCATTGTAAGATAAAACCTGAGGGACGAAGGTGGAGTTGGAGTCGGGCGTTAAGGAGCTGGTTGCGTTTGATTCAGGCGTGTTCATGCCCGAGTTGCGGAAGAAAAGTTGAAAAGCAAAGTGTCACGGAAGGACCCCGAAAACAGGGGCTCATGGGGAACATAAATAGCGTATTACTGGTACATTTATGAAATAGTGTTAGTTTTTATAGACAACATTGTCAAGTGTTTCTAAGTGAAAAATGATAGATAGATATACCAAAAAGAGGGTTTCACCGTCGACAAACACAAGCCACCTTTCAAGTTTATGCAAACTAATATTGCCTGTATGCATAACCCAGTATCTCCGAAGGGCGTCTTTGCATCAATTCGGGGCACATGCAGCCCTCCGTCCACCCGTTGGCCATCGTCGCGGGTTTGCTAAACATGGTAAAATCGTCTTCAGTATCTACCGGGTCATAGAAGACCAACGACGGGTCTTGGCTGTAAGGGTGGGATCGGTAAGACGGAGCAGAGGACTGGGACGATGGGGTCCTGTCTGATGTGGATGGGGAAGCAACACCCCCGCGTCCGCTGCGCGGAGAAGGAACATATCCATGTTTCGTTTTGCGATGGCGCGTCAGGGCAGAAGGGTCGTGGGTCCTGAAGGTGCAATCATGAGGACAGCTATAGCGTTGCTCACCGGCACTAAAAGTATTAATCAGATTAGCTCATTGACAGTGATGCAAGGGCACGTACTGTTTCGCGGAGTGGATATCAAAGCTTCTTTTTATCAGCGTCGCAAAGTCACATCCGGGAAAGGTGCAAATGCGCACGCTGAACGCGGGCTCATGTAAATGACCAGTCTAGCATATGGGATAAAGACATACTTTTCTGCATGTCCAGCCTCATGCCTCTTGAATTCCGTAAACTTGGTAAAAGTTTCGCCGCACTTCGCCTGAGAGCAAACATAGACCTGCACATTTCCAGACTCCGTCTTAGTACATGAGGTACGCTCGTGATGAGGCTCACCTTGGTAGGAGACATTTCAAACTTGATTATAGAAGAATATGAATGAGAGTTCTATTCGATGTTGTCGAGGCGAAACGCCTGATTCTCCTTGGGGTAATGATGATATCAGGAAGGCATTCAGGCAGGACTATATAAGATTCCTGGAGGTGGGAGTGGCATTGTGCCTTTTCAGTGGACAGAGGCTTCTGGGGTTCATACATAAACGCTTTGTTGGGGCTCTGGTGAACGTGAGCCACGACAAAGCACGAATGCATTATCAAAGCTTCCGCATCCGCTTGAGGACTTCCGAATCATTATCCGTTATACGCAATGCTATAAAAAGAATTCCGTTAGCAAACACTCATCAATTGAAGGCGTAAAATTTGTGGATGCCTGGGTGAGCATATTGATCCGATGTTGGTGAACGATAATCGATAAGGATTAGGCTCAGTCTTGTAGGGAACAACTAATACGTTGTGGATCAAGCCCTGGCATCGAGTAGTGGACACCAGAGCAACGCTTTATGCTAGAGATGTATTGATGGAGGTTAACTCAACTCGACAATGATATCGAGTTTCAAGATGTGGAATTAGTTTCTTGAGTTTTCGTAGTGGGGCCCGCCCGCAATCTGTCCCAAAGGTCTAAATATCAGATACAGACCCCATACACATAACTGCCACGAAATGCATAAGAGATAGTTAGACCGGCGTCATTGAAGTCAAATTGAAAAACAGTGCAGACGAGAGCGCGCCGTGGCAGTGCATGCAAAGCTTCACACGTAAAATGACCGGCTCGTCTGGTATACATATGTAGTCTAGCTCGCGACGTTGCAAAATTACCAGCAAGCAGTTATCGTTTTCAAAATCAAGTAGACGTCGAGCGATGAATACTACTTCACTCAAAGTATTCGAGAATAGCTGTGACAAGATCAAAAAAAAACGCACAATCCGTATTCCAGCAAGATCAGCCCCACCTAAAAGTAAAGCACGGGCACAACACGACGATAAGTACCTAAAACAAACCCGCCAGATCTGCGAATGGGTCCTTCCCTTGTTGCGTCGGTGGCGGAGAGGTAGGCTGCGTCTGCCCCATCATCGCACCCATACTCACCCTTGATCCTGGTATGTTCAAATGGAAAGCTCCGCTCTGCACCGCGCCCATGCCCGTCGCTGGTGGCATACTCATACCCAATCCAGGAGGACCCATTCCCAGCGACAAGTTTGAATTCGGAGGGATACTCATACCTCCGTTGTTGCCCCCGAAATAACTGGGTGATGTTACCCGCGGTGGGGTAGGTGCAAGCATGATGGACCCAAGCTGGGGTTGTGGCGAGGTATTTGGGACGGGTGATGAAGTGGAGGAAGAAGCGTTGTTCGTCAAGGAGGCAGTGGTTTGTGAGGCGAACATTGCGCCAGCACTTGATGGTCGGGCGTAAGATTGAGGTTGCGGTGGAGAGGCAAATAATGCAGCTAGATCATCTACAGGTGCGCCGTGTGACGATGAATGCGAGGTGTCATCAAAATTAATGAGGGATCCTTCGGTTCGGGCGAGCTCAGTGGGTACGGCAGATATACTGTAGTCGCCTTTCTTGTAGGCCTCGAAGCGTGTGAGGACGTTATTGATTTGGTCGTTGATTTGGAGGAAGGCGTCTGAGTAGCATATGAGATTTGCGCAGGAGAATAGAGGAACAAAGGTACCTAACGATTCTGGATCGTCTGTCTCTGCGTTCGAAACCCATTTCTGGAGCTTCGGACGGGCAGACTTCAATATTGATGCGACTTGCTGTTACAACGAGTTAAAAAATAAAATTACAACTTTTAGAATATCGACGTACGTCATACGCGTCTCCCGATGCGAACTTCTCTCCGTGTGCAGTATCGACATTATCGAGCATCTCGTTGAGTAGAATGACTTTACTCTCGATCTTATTGAGCTCCGTCATGGCTTGAGAGCGGTAGTCGGGCTTTGCCTCGGGGTTCGCGCCAGCGAGGGACTTCATGAGTTCTTGTGCGACTGCCAGGTCCCGCGGGGTGCCTCTCCGAATAAGTTCCTGGAGTTTAGCAGATTGTGCTTCTCGATCTTCCGATTCAAGCTCGTCAGCAGATTTAATGTTCTACGCTGTCATATGAACGCATGAGACAGACAAGAGCCACAGACGAACTCACCATTGTGGGGGGAGCCTCCGCGCGGCGGGGAATCTCCCTAAAGCGGTACCCTTTGAATGTAAGAAGCCGGTGCATATCCTTGATATTCCCCAAATCTTCTTTCCAGCGCGACTCAGAGCAGATACCCTCCTTCCATTGATGGATGAGCTCTATAATGCGTGACATGACTGGGCCAGGGAAGGGAGGTGGGCGTTCAGGAAATCGACGAACGAGCTCGTTCAGGAATTCTTTGGTTGAGATTTGGAGGTGAAATGGGTAGCCGCACGATTGAACGAGGGTGTCGAGAAGCGCAAGTGCGAGGATAGCGATATGTGGGTTTCGGTGGTTTGCTAGACGTGCTATTAGCATCGCTGCATCACGAGGGCTGATTCAATGTCAGAACTAGAGATTGTAAGAGCAGGATTGACAGACGTATTAGCTTTCTTGGTGTTGATCAATTCAGCGATCTCAAGGTGAACGGCATAGTTGGGCTCATGGAGTGTCGGATCGCAGGCATTTTGTACGAGCATTTCTAGCCTCGATGCCCTGAACCAAGGCGTACCATTCGAACCTCCTAGCATCATGCCCAGTGTTATTTAGCTAGTGGGAAATAAATGGTCTAGCAGACGTGGCAGTCACAGCTGCGCTCGCTGTCGTGGTCGCCTCGCCAAGATATCCGTGGGAATATGTCAGCATGCCTGCTCGTGCCTTTTACTCAAACCGCCAAGCCAGCATCAGTTGTCTGTCTCGTTCTATGATATTCTGCTGCTTTCTGCTATTGCACTGACAAGGACCGACTCTACTCGAAGCTCAGACCGACTGGTTGCAACGTACGTACAGCAAGCTCGCGATAGTGATGCCAGGCGAATGTACAGAGGGAACACAATTTTCACCAGGCGTCCTCCGAGCTTAGCGCCGATCTATGCCATACCACTGCTGGACGGATAGCATGCGCAAAGCACCCATAGCACGGAGTTCTTTGTGTGGCACTCGAGAAGGAAACGGGCATGTCGTCACAAGATTACTGTTAATCTCCGCTTATCGAGGACAGCTGATAGAGCTGTCCCAAAGTTGTTCTATTGATTGTTCGTGAGAGCACAGTGCAGCACATGCCGCTATCTTTGACTCAGAACCTCGTGTGCGAATGATGTCCACACGGTCGTGTAATCATCAAAGAATTCAATCATAATGATACAGCTCTTCAGTACTTCAGACTCGGTTCTCAGTTATAATGCTTCACCACAATACCCTCGATAACCTCCTCCTCAACACCACGTTCCACCCCTTTCTTAAGGTCAGACCTCCCATACGCCGTCGTCCTTCCCTTCCTCCATGTCTCGCACGATGGCGCATCCTCATCAAAACACTGGCGCTCAATCCCAACGAGCTTTAACACAGGACTTTCAGCACACGGCAGCAAACGAACGTCGTTGTCTGGCATCGCGAAGTAGTATGCACCCAGACGGTCGTAGGCGCGTTGGTCCGAGGGAGGCTGGATGACACGGTGGATTGTGGGTTTATAGTATCCGCCTGTGAGGAATGTCATCATGTCGCCTGTGTTGATGACCTGTTGTGGAATATTAGGTTCGAGGTATTGCTGTATTTTTTTTACGAGCGTACCAAACCGTTATCAATATGTCTGACCCATTTCCATTTGCCGTCGGGAGCCATGATTTGCAGACCGCCGATAGGCTGGCTCCATAGAATGGTGATACTTCCGATGTCTGCGAGATTCAGGAGACGAGTATGAAGTAAAGGATGCATCAAGTGTACCTGTGTGTCCCTTCAACCAAACATTCTGCGATTTCTCTTCCTCGTCATTCGAACGCCTATAACTTGAGCAGAGTCCATAAGTTAAGCAGCGGTCACGACGAAAGGGCTCTTACTATTTCATGAACCTAACTGCAATTACGCTAATTGATGTGGGACTAGATACAGGATAAGAAAGACTAACCAGAGGTTTCTCCCGCTCGGTCAAAGTTGTGTTTTTCCACCAACGTTTCCTCAGGCAATTCGAGGCTTAACGCAATCAAGCTGTATGATAGTGCTCATAAGCTGAAATATCGTTGGACTCGCGGCAGAACTGACCGAAGGATCGGGTGAAGAATATTGAAGTGATTATGGCGAGCAAAATCATCGAGCTCTGGAAGGAATGGGCGCAGAGCCGTAGGGTGGGGACGCTTTGTGACATCGAGGTTTACTACGGAGGGTAAGAAGCACGCATCACACGAGTATTTGTAACACCTACTTGCATAATGCTCAATCTGATCGAGAATTTGATTCTCTGTGTCGACTTTCTGAATGGGAGCAATAAGCTTTACTCATGATGTCCCTTGTAGAATATGACGGACCCAGAATTGACGAGGTTTATAACCTGCGTAGTACCCGACTTTCTCGACATCGGCAGTGTATGTCTTCTTTTCATCTGGGGAGACGTGGTCGAAAGGAACGCCAGCTATGTCGAAGATCCTGTCACGCTACAACATTGATTCAGAGACCTTTGAGCATGAGTGCCAAGAACGGGTCGTACCTCAGCCTGTGTGTAACCATGATTGATGGCACAGATGAAGCCATGGGTGCGTAGTGCATCCCGAAGCTGGGGATAGAGTTCTGCACGTCCTTCGGGTGTGTGCGATTTGGAAAGGCCGATGATGGGCAGATCTGCAAATTCCACTGTATGAGGAGTCGTTAGACAACTGTGTTATATTTATCAATACTCTCTTACAGTCCTCCTTTGTTCCTGGAGGGGGGATGTAGTGTGGACACTCTGGCAGGGTTAAACTGGGCATATCTTAGATGGTTATTGGAGAAGAAAGCAGAGTGGTTAACGCAGGTAGATAATAAATATCTGGACTATGAACAGAAGGATGAAAATTTCACACCGAGATAAGCCGTCTGAAATAGACATGGCCCCGCGACTGATCATGATGGTCATGGGTTCCATGGAAGTGCCTCAGCATATGGAGTCCATGTTCGTTCCGCCGCTAAGGAGTCAAATGTAGTGAGGTTACAGCTCAACAAGCTGAACAATTGACGACAACACTACATGGAAGAAAAATCATTGGTGCAATTGAGGATGACTGAGCGGGGTATGATTGATGATTATATTACAGAGGAGGTATGGCGGACGCGATAGTCATAATTAGATAGAAGTGAGAAGCAAATACAAGTAGGCAGCAATGGTTCGAGAATGAGTAGGGGCCCCTAGGGGTCTAGGCAAGCAGCAGCGGTGCTTTGCGGTGTCTAGAGTAGAGTTTTCCGGTAGAGGGTCGAGTCCATTCCTTCGCAAGTGCAGTTTCCAGTGAGAGCAGGCCGAGTCCACTCCAGTACGACCGAGACAAAAAGATCTTGGATTCAATAGTGTCTAAACCAGATGACTGATTGATGATGGCATTATAGGGGACTCGGAGGTTTTGGCACGGACACGATAGTCATAATTAGACGACGGAAGCTAGAAGCGGATCGCAGTAGGCAGCGAAGCACCGAGTATAAGTACCACCAAGATGAGACAATCTTGCACTCGATAGCGTCCAAACCGATTCTGGATTTTACTAGGAGGCAAGTTGAAAATGAGATGACCGTGACCGAAGATCATGCCAATCGCCGAGGTAGGCAGCGATGTAGCGGAGACAAAGAGAGATGATGATCTAGATGAGGTTGAGGTGATTAATCACAATAGTGAGAATGAGGGATGCGACGAGGCAATATTGATGTCGTCGTTAGGAATGTTATACACACAGTCTACGTAGAGAGTTCTGCCTCCCACATAGTTCTATGGGAGTGCTTTTAAGTCCATTTTGTCGCGAACGTCACTCGCTGAATGAGGTTACGCCTCAGAACAAGCTGACGACAGCACTACACGGAGGGAGGAAGCGACAGTTTATTGGTGCGATTGAGTGGGGTATGGAGTAGCGGAGTGCGTGGACGTGATATTCATTAGACGGAAGCACAAGAATTCGACGATGTTCAACACCAAGGTCCAAGATCACGCGGTCATGTCTAAAAATAAACCGCAGTTACATGGGCTCGAGAACTCTTAAAAAGATTCTCGGTTCGGAATCAATGCGCAGTACACCGACCCTAATATTGTGCGCCCGCTGATCGCAATGCTTCAATTTCATCCCCCATGTCTTCTCTCCCTTATGCCGGCCGTCTTCTCAGGAAACTAAATGTCCCCTTCATCACTCGTTTCCTTCTCGCAATAAAGCGCAACCCTACTCTCTTCTCCTTCTCCATCTTCCTGGCAATTTACATCGCAACAGAAATCATCTTCTCCATATCATTTTTCGCGGCTCTTACTGGATGGCTACCCGCTTTTCCTGCGACGTGGAGATTCCTGCTTATACTCCTCTTCGTAGTGCCCACATTCACCTTCGTTCAATTATCGCGACTTCTAATTCCACTACTTTCAAACAGATTGGATGGAGGCGTGGGCATCTCCGAGCAAGGATATGGCATGCTTCAGCGACACCCTATCGACAGCCCCTTCGACGTTGCTGACGAAGAACACGCGTTGCTAGAAACAGCCGAAGATGGTAGTGAGCGCTCTTCTAGGCCTGTATCTCCGACTGCGCATCTGGTGGCGCATCAGACTCATAAATCATGGTGGATACAGCTTATAATATACACCATCCTGTTTTGTGTGAGTACATGGGTCGGAGCGCATTATGAACAGCCAGGCGATGTGCGCTATAGAGATGCAGTCCAGTCCGCCGTTGCACATCCGTTAAGACAAGGGCATGGGAAACAAGGCAAGCTTCTTCGAATCTGTTGATGCGAAGGTAGCTTATCTATTTTCAGAAAAAATATTCATCGCTGCGATATTCTACGACAACGAACTAGTGATACCCTACTGGCACAACTCTCTCATCAAAGCTATTCGTTATCTCGGTCCAGACAACGTCTTCGTCTCTATCGTCGAGAGTTACAGTACTGATACCTCACCTAAGCTTCTTCAAGAACTAGATGCAGACCTTGCACTCATGGGCGTGTCGCGGCGCATACTCACAGGAGACGAGTCCATATCCAGACCTAACTATTTCGGTGGGAGGGAGCGCATCGAATTCTTGGCCGCCACTCGTAACCGCGCACTTGAGCCCCTAATGGAAGGAGGATACGATAAAGTCGTCTTCTCGAATGACATATTTATTGAACCCGAGTCTTTGGTGGAGTTACTGGAGACGAATGATGGAAACTACGATATGGCATGCGGTCTAGATTTTGGGCATTTTGGGTACACTCATCCAGCTTCCTCTATTCCCATCATTCTAATATCTCTCAGCGCATATGATATGTGGGTTCTCCGAGATCGACAAGCAAAGCTCACAAGTGGAATGTGAGCGCGAATTTCATATTCTTGAAACCATGTCTAATTCGACTTGAAGATGGCCATATTTCTTTGACGAAGCAGACTATCGCGCGATGCAGACAGATTCTCCCGCGCCTGTATTTTCCTGCTGGAATGGTATCGCTGTCTTCGCTGCAGATCCTCTCATTCCTGTACCCTTACGCTCCAACCGCACGCTTTCCACCGACCCTTTACCGTACGAACTACCCTCGACACACCCAGCTGCACAAGATCTTTCCATGCGCGGTCCCAGTCCCGCTCTGACACCCCCAATACAGTTCCGCGTATCTGCTCCGGGAGAATGTTTTTCGTCCGAAAGTTTCTTATTGCCATATGACCTGAGGCGACAGTTTAATCTGCAGCACATATACGTCAACCCAAGGGTAATCACTGCATACAAGTGGAGGTATGTTCCTATCGATGCTGTCGGGACCGTGGCTTATGAATCATCCTTGCATAGATATTATGCATACTTCAAATGGTTTATGCGCCATCCTGTACTCCGGTGGTGGATCGAAAAGGTGTACAACGGGGCATGGATGGCGAGAAGTGTCTTTGTTGTGGGCGATGCTACTCAGGTGTATCGATGGGATGGGGGGGATTGTCATCCGTGGTATTGAGCCAGACAATTTAGACGCACCAGCTATGGACTGCATATATGGTACCACCTAGAGCGCTGCAGTATTACCGCCTGCATCATACATAATACTTATTAATACAGTTTGTACATCACCCAAAGATGGATTCGACTAGGCTATATTATCGTCTCGTCGGGTGGAGGTTGAAATTTCAAAGTTCGTGGTTTGACTTCAAGTTAGCTTGCAACCTGTGAACCTCTACACTCGAATCGGGGGCCGGGAAGGAAAGGAGCCTAACAGGGACTATTCTTTCTATGTCCTCTGGAACTTTTAGGTTAGCAGAGCCTGAGGATGGAGGCGGCATTCAGAAAATTTGCATATGAAAACAAGGCAGAGTGCATTACAGTGTCTGCTACGCAGCTATAGTAGGTCGGTTCTACATCAAAGCTATGATCTAACATGTTGTACAAAGGTCAAATTGTACTTCGAATGCGAAGACATTCTGGTATATGTATGATGTACGTCAGGCGGAACTTCAGATACTACTGCAAGTGGTAACAGAGCTGCAATCTCACAACACCCACCAACGCGGTAAAAATATACCCTGTAGACGCATCTCACCATGACTCATCTGGTATTAGATCAACAGTCGGAATCTGTGCTCGAAGAGCGGAAATCTCCTTTGTGTCGATGCGATGTAATTCCATTAGCTCGATGATTTTACTCAAGGTATCGCGGTCTGCGCGTTCCAGGAACGTCAATTTCCTACCGTATTCCTGAATCTGATTATGGACATCTCCGCTTGTTGGTGATTCACAATAGGATTTGACTGCGACCTTGATAACCCTACGAGACACTTCCTGGCTGTCCAACAGGAGATGAAGTGTCTGTAGCACGAGGGTCAAATCAACAATGTAAGCCATAAAGCGCTGGAGCACCACGCCGCTGAACAGGATGTGTTAATATTCTCTCAGTCAACGATAAGTAGCGGCACGTACGACAGCTTGTACACGTCGTACACCCATTTCGCGACTACCACACCTGCCGCTATCGGCAATACGATGGGAGCCACAGGTCCTGCCAGGACAGCCACGATGCCTGCAACGGCTCCCACCGTAGACAGTCCAGAAGCCCTGTGAATGATCATGAGATACAACGCAATTCATACGGAGGAATAGCCTACATAGTCCGATCAGGATTAGTAGCAGGTCCAACATCCAGCGTGTCGACCATATTTACCACCACAGTCCTGAATTCACGACTCTCCAAGTACTGTACACAAATCACGTCAGAACATGTGCGGTAATAATGAAAATAGACATTACATGATGAGGGTCATGGAAGTTCCACACCTTGACGATGTCAGTGTGAAGCACACGTAGGCAGTCCGACATCCTACGGTCCTGAAATGCTGCGCATGATGTAAGTGCCTTCCAATATTCTGTAATATATGGAAGCTCAGATTGCGCTCATGAAAACTAAGGTAGCATCAAGACGAACTTCTCTTGCCAACCCTAACATCACATAAATTTTCAGATAAGAATGATGCAAATGAGGCTCACTCGATTGATGCTTTAATTTTGAGTCCAGGATCCACTCGCTGGGCTATGGAAGTCATCACCGATGCGTCGCCCGCAACATGCTTACAAACATGCTCTTCAGTTATTTGGATTAGACGAGCCAGCGTCTCTGCATGCTCCTTGTTTGCTGCGTTTTTTTATCATGAAGAGCATTAAATACGATAACAGTCTGATACTCACTGGAGACCGTGGCATGCGGAACATCCGGTCCTGCGAATTTCTCTAGGGGTTCAATGCAGATTTCATTCAACTCGGCGTCCACTTTGTCCTTGATGAGTTCCTTGATGGCGTTGGGGTTCAATTCCATGAGAGATGACTCATCTAGAGTACGATTGACGCGGTTGATGAACCTATCATATTTAGTGAAAACAACAACGACAGGAACTTGACCGCGGGTGAGCTCTAATATACAAGAGACACTTTCGATTCACTCACTATTCCCAAGCTTTCCACCACGCTTCAATGTCAAGAATTCTTCCGTGCCTGTCTCCAGTAAACGCCCGCCTGCGCGGGGTATTTCAAAGCAAAGCCTTCCGTGCATTGTCAGCTAGTTATGAGAATCATTGAGATACAAGCCCTACCAAACAGCGTGCAGCTGGTCTTCCAAAGACATCTCTTTTCGACGGTCAATGAAATCTCGAACTATGTTCACGTTGCGTTCCTCGCCCGGTTCAAAACCTTTGCTATCGTGAAGAACAAACCTGTCGTTCTGCGGTGAGACAAACTCGTGGTCGATGTCGGCTTCGCCTGGTTTATGAGTCGAAGGTATCTATTGAAACAGAATGAGTAACCCTCTGTGACATGGTTTCGTGAGTAACCCACCGCTTCGTGTACTCCGAAGGCGCGGTTGATGAGCGAGGATTTGCCAACACCGGTCTATTGAAGCACCTCATCAATACTGGTATGAGATCAACGAAACTCCAATACCTTTCCTATCACTAGAATTCGGAATCTGGGGAGTCCTTAATGTCAACCTGGATAACACATATCATGTTCATCCTAGCTCACCGAGGACAAATCTGAACGATCTCATCGGTGGTAGGCCGTAGCTCCCGTGTTGTATCGGAGGCAGAATCAGGTTGCTTTGCATGCTAATCTACGACTCAGAGGCGGTTTCCAATAGAAAACATGTATCCACACCTCGGTTAATGTGTTCCCGGAAAGTGTGACTACGATCTTGATGTTGTCATGAGACTTGTGGTATTCTGTGTCATCGAGGTGAGTACATTATTGAAGCGAAACCGGGGTTCATAGCTACTCGACCTTGTCTTGCATTGGATGTGCGAAGTATGTCATCCAGATCGATGTCCTCATGGGCAATCTTTCGAAATCGTCTCTTGTACTGTAAACGTAAGGAAAACGTATCCTCCAGAGAAAGCTTGCTAGAACAAGATAGCAATTTAGTTAGCACGCTCGATCTGGTCTCTCAGGTCCCTTACATTGGTGGGGAAAACGTCTGTCGCATAGTCTTTCCTGCATCGTGATCAATTTGCCTCAGAAATTTGCCGATCCGTGCTTCAGCAGACTCTAGATTCTTTTCTGAATGGCTGAAATCGATAGAGATGCCTAGTTTGATAGTTGGTGGGATCAGCGAGCTTGATCATGCAACTAGTGCGAGAATTGTGTACCAGAGATATGGATAGCGCAGGGAGCGGTTGAGGTGTGATTACTAGGGTTTGGCATCCTGCTCAATTCTTGATTCGAGTTGGAGAAAAGCCTGAGCCTCGGTTGTGCTGAATTGGGTCGGGGTTGGACGCAGACCATGCACAAAGTGTGGATCATGCGCCAAATCCTGTGGTACGGGCGCTTGCAGAGTTCACACACTGGCACTGACTCGGAGAGCTCGAGCAGGCACGAGCGCTTTCTGGCCGCTTCGTTACTTTGCCATTACACCCTCACTGTAGGAAAAGCGAACCCAGGAAGAATGGACAGAAAATTCACAGCACAAGGGAAAACCCAGAAAAAATGAAATAGCGACGGAGAAAGGTGCGAAGCATTAATAAGGTTTGAACACTGGTTATGGTGACCGATAAGATCAAGAGAGTAATTGGCAATTGGCACGTTTTACAAAACGTCGACCTAGCTAGCTTTCACGACGACATATGACGCTTGTGGTAGGAAGAGACTTGGAATTCGACGAAATATTGGTAGCTAGTCGTTATGATCTGAGTATTTGTTCTCATAGCGCACAGCTAATGCCTTCGTGTTCACGTCGCCCCTTGCTTGTACCTCTTCCCTCAGGCCTCAGCTCTACGATGACATGGACATGTACCAGTCAGTTATTTGCACTCAAGGTGACAACCACGCGTGCGCAACGCGTATATATGTTGCCGACACTAGAATCGACGAGTATACCAGGGACACTTGCCTGCACGATTATTGGGCATATCCGTTACGCCAAATGTACAAAGTACATACCCGTCCACCTGTCTAATCGAACGCCAGACTCTAGGGGAAAGACCATTCTGCTCCGCTATTCTTGAAACCGGCACATGTTTGTTCGATGTCGACATCCGTTGCGATGTAGATACAGGTATCATAAAGTCACGGCCCATCTTGGCTTCGTATAACATGGAAGTTCGTACGGAGAGGTATACATACATGCACTTGGGGTATTAATCGATGCATCCACGAGTTACATCAAGCAAGTTCTGCAAATCCTACCCTCGTGTTTGCGTAATCAAACACTGAATAAACGTTCTGAAGAAATACATCGCCAACAATTGTGAAATCTGCAGTGAGTATAAGTAACATCATCATGTCCAAGATATCGCAGGCTGTACACACTCATTTCTGCAGACGCAGCAATCCCAGCTAAGCAGTCGGCGTAATCAACGTCTGGCCCGAGGTTGTACGTTTCCGTAGAGACTTTGAAGGCACGGGTGCCGAACGTGAATGTAGGCACGGTGGAGTTAATGGTATCACACGGAACTGCGCAGACACAGACATTGATCAACTTGAAGACCGTGGAATAAATAACAAGCTTACTTGTCCAGTATGTATCGTCGCCTTCCGTGTGGGCCGTAGCTCCGGATATGTTCGCGTAGTAACTTTGTGCGATTGAATAGGACGTGATGACGAAGGTGGTCCCGGTATCAATGATGGCATCAGCGGCTTGCGACTCAATGACCTCCTGTCCCAACCTTGAAATGGCACCTAGCTTTACCTGCCAGTACCCTTTTTTCGTCACAGGAACATAAGTAAGTGTGTCGGAGTGGTAGAGATCAGTATTTGTTCCTCCAACAACCATTTCGCTATCTCCTGGAGTAGTAGATAACTTGAACCCAATGACGCTTTGTGGCAGTTTTCCACTTTCGTCCAGTGTTTGGAAGAGTGGAGATCCCTCGAACTCCGATATTTCGCGGAATGCCAGACCGGAAAGACCGTCAGGGGGGAAATTGTCCTTACTGAACTCTGGCGAATATATCCATGCGGCGCCGAGAGTCTGATCATCGGCCTGAAAAACTAAATTAGTAGAGAGAAGTGAACACTCGTGACAACTAACTTCGTAACCCCCAACAAAAACGTCATCAACGTACTCCTCGCCCGCTGTCTCTCCAGCGCCGTACGTGAGTACGAACGGTTGACCTGAATCCTTGGAAAACGAAGATGCAGCAGGGTCGTATGCTGTATGGCCGTCACAAGCAACACCGCATTCAGTAGATGGAAGGACTACACGAACATTGGTGTCAGCGCGGGATGAAGAAATATACTTCTGAGACTCACAGAGGTCTGAGCTGCCAGTATCGAACACCACTTCAGAATGTCAAAGTTATACAACATCACATCGTAGAATTAATCAAACGAACCTGTAAACGTTTTTGGGGGCGTACCCACCTCGATCTCGCCGTACCAGAGGTCTGATTTATAATTGACAAGAGATACGTTTCCATTCCGCTTTGCAACTGAGTGAACGTCGAAGCGACTACTCAACGGGTGAGGAGACCCGGTGTTCCGTTGGTAGGCTCCCATGGTGGCACTGTACTTGCTAGTTGACGTCAAGCTGATGAATTTAGTGAAAGAAAGAATCCCAAACATACTGATGTACAAAGCCCAGCTGTCCCCACACAGCCTTCGGATCAAACACTTTGGAGTAGTTGCCGGCAGTTGATCTAGAGTTGAGGGGAATGCGTTTTGTGTGACCCATGTTAGAATGAATATTTGGCGGAGGAGTGGGTGACCCGACAACTGCTACTACAAAAAGCGTGCAGATTGCAGTAAACTTCATCTTGTAGGTGTGTCAAAATGGTGTTGTAAGATGAGAGAAGGGAGGAGACGACCAGATTTTAACATGCGTGTCGAGAAAGCCACCGTCATCGTGTCTGAGCATGAATGCAAGCTTTCAGTTTGGACTAAAGGTAGACTTTGGGTAGACCTGGGATGAAGTCACGTGCTCCCGGTCGTATCAGGCGTTGGCTTGTGGCTGGTCCTAAACAAACTGTCTTCAATACGGCGTTCTTAGGTATGGCGAACTCATGATATTTGCTGTCACAGCCGTGCCAACGAAGTACGTGAATCAACCGGAACACGCATCTTTTTCATGTGGATATCCTTATTTTGCAGTGGTTCGATCGATGTCTTGACTTCTTCTGGTGATCAGTGCACCTGGAAACTCTCCACTTGTAGCAATGCTTTGGGCGGAAATGGAGCTTGGCGCATAATACTCTTTCTCCATGGCCGACAGCTTTCACTTGGACATCGCAGCATACAGAGTGCCAGCATGGGCCCTTGACCTTGCCACGACAACAAACTCAAGGTGGCTTACCGACGTTGTCGGCTCAAACCCGTCTTGCGCCTGGTCATCCACAAATTTAACAGGGACCATAATTAGGGGAAGTCCCAATGATACGTCGTAAGGTACACTAGGCGTCAGGACGCAGATTTGGAACCATATAAATGAAACTCCATCCATTATCTTAGTCTTACCGAATATCAGGAGCAAAGCTGACGAACTGCATATATAATACATTGCCAACGTCGAATCTCAACGATCTGTCAGAGTCATTAAGTAGCTGCAACTAGGCAGCAGTCGATTGATTCGCACAATTTCACCGTGATACAAATCAGTCTGCTTCTAGTTGAACGGTTGATAGGGTATGGAGACAGTTCCCGGAACCTAGAATAACAAAGAACGTCTTCGTGAGTTAAACGTTATATATGGAACTCGATGGAAGACCAGCAGGTACCGCGGACATGCGGCGGACATGAGGCTCGCAGGTAAAATGGATGGTGCAGGTGATCAATCAGATCTATAATTCCATCAGCTCAGGCAGCTTGTACACGCACGCAATGAGTTGATCGATACCTGAGGACTTGGAGAGTACTTGTACGTAGTTGGTAGTAATTAGTACTTAAGTAAAGGATGACCGCAAAAATTTGATGTAACATCTAATCATATCTTACGGAAGCAGGGCCCACGCCCAAGGCACGCCGCTTGTCCACCATGGTTGTCCTTCCCCAGCTGCTCAAATACAATAGAAAGTTTAAATTTGATGGTTACACCCATATGTACGCATATATAGGCGCAACCACGTTGCGTCCTCGCACCCGCATTTACTTATTTTTTTCCCCGCAACATCCCCACCGTGGTATACTACCACGACGTGCCTTCTCCTCACGCTGTGTGCGAGCCTTGTCACCCCTTGTGTGCGTTTTTCCACCAATCTAACTTCAATCTACCGTCCTTCCATTACACGCATCTTTTTCAAAACCTGGTATAAAACTCAAAGTCCCTCCGCTGTGATATTCTTGAAGCACTAGGTCACCGACGTGCCATGTCTTACTGCTCGTACCAGTTTTCCCTACCCCTCCTTGCACTTCTTCCACTTGTTTCAGCCCATGGATATGTCGCACAAGTAGCAATCGATGGCACAGACTACTTTGGGAACCCTCCCAATGCCAACCCCGTTCCCAGCATCGTCAGACAGATCAATAATGTCGCACCCGTGAAGGGTGCTTCCAACCCGTATCTGAATTGCGGACAAGATGCTCAGCTCGCATCACTTGTCGCCAACGCCAACCCATCCAGTCAGTTGCAGTTTTGGTGGAAGGGTGGTGACGGCAGCAATTGGCCCCATAATATCGGTCCCATCATGACTTACATGGCTCAGTGTGTCAACACGACATGCGATCAGTATGATTCAACAAACGCGGAATGGTTCAAGATCGAGCAGACAGGACTGCAGCCAGGCAATACAGTTTGGTACCAGCAAAATATCAGTATGTCTACTCATTCACATCATTCTTTTTTCCATCTGAATGTCGCACGCACAGTGAATGGTGGTCCAGCCAACGTAACTCTTCCTCCAACATTAGCTCCTGGGCAATACCTCATACGACACGAGATCATCGCGCTGCATCTCGCAAATGAGATGGGCGGCGCTGAGTTCTACCCTAGCTGCACGCAGGTGAGCATGTCTGTTTGTAGTCTTATATTCCATCTCAATCGCGTCTTCTGCAGGTTAATATTCAGGGCGACCAATCGAGCGTCGCATCGGCGAGTGATGAAGTCACTTTTCCAGGCGGGTACAGCGATAACGATCCAGGAATTTACGACCCAACGATTTTTGACACGCCTGTGCAGTACACGTTTCCTGGGCCTCCAGTTGTCTCGTTCGCTGCATCGCCGTCAAATACTTCGTCACCGACATCCTCCAATTCTAGCTCGACTACTACGGGTACACCCGTGCCCTCTTCAACTGCGTCGGGCAGTGGAGGCGGAGTGCAGTGCCAAGTGAGCACGGCGCAAGCTGCTTTTTCTATGTATGCACGTCAGCCACGGAGTGTGTCAAGAGTGATGAGGCGTTGGTGGGAGAGTTTAACCAGCTTGTCGTCAATAGCCTCATAGTATCTCACCGATCAGAGAGCCATTACGATTGTAGAGACGGGTATACTTGGGGGTAGCGGTTTTTGTGTTTTTGTTGGGTTCATTACTGTGTTGTTGTTCAATTACCGTACCAGCTCCAAGTTAAACTGCTGGTTGTAGATTATATCAGATTGTGAAGTAGCCACCATGTTATCCCACCGTAGGTAGTGCGATTATATAGATCAAACTTTGTGAACGTTCATCCTCATCTTAGGAGAGGACAGCCATGTGACTCGACACATGATGAAAATGCACAGAGCGATCCTTCTCGACTATGTAAGGAAGCCTATGGCTTTGGCGTTGCACAGTTCACCGGCACTGCTCTCGTGCATATCTATTCTGCATTGTTTGATCGCCGCTCGCGTCACTCAAACGTTTATCGCCGAACTAGCTGCTCCGAATTCTTCTTCGACCTCTGCGCGCTTTCACCCAAGTCTATGTGCACCAGCGCTTAGTATCGACGGACGGACTTTGATTGGAGTCACTGCCACGACACTTATGCTTGAGCAACAGCACTCCTTCATACACAGGCTACTTTTTGACTTCTTCATCCCCTCGCCACCCCCTCCCATACAGAACTTGAGTGTGTAGTGTAGCACCTCCTTGACGATGATTTACATGTGATGAAATTTTAGATGATGATGAACGACTTACATTCTTGTATCTTTGATTTTCTGGGTGAGATGAGGGTGCAATATAAAATTATTACTACCAATGACGAAGACATGTATATGAACATTGATGCATATATGATGGTAGGGCAGTGTGTACGAGGTGGAGTTACAAACTAGGATCAGAAGGAAAGATCCAGGATGCAGTCGAAGTCACCGGAGGAAAATGTGAAGGCCGCGCCTTGAATAGCGATGACTAAGGATTGATGGGAAGAGGCAACGAGGGATGGGATGTTTGACTACAAGCGCGATGGGGATCTGGGGCTAAATCTTGGTGTGGACGTGCCACCCTGTCTTGATGCGCTGTTTTACTCGACTGGCGGCGACGGCATAGCTAGGCTGCGGGTACCAGGAAACAGCCATTCGAGCCACGGCCTGCGAAATCACAGGTTGGGCCGCCAATTGCCAAAGAGATCACGGGCATGTGCATTTCCTGCATTATCCACCCTGAGCTGGTAACAGTGCACGCAAAGGCAAAATGGAGAGATTATAAGCATGCCAACTTGACATTGAGGGATGATGAGAAAATTTTTGTTGACAGAGGGAGTAGACACTAGTGAGATGTAAACATCATCACTAGGCACAATCAGGCATGCCATGCTGGGCACTGGGTGTCGTCTGAATAGATGTGAGAGAAAGAGTCCGTACTTGACGAAAGGTTGAAAACATAGAAGCAGCTGATTATGTCAGCGGTTATTGTGTTAGTTGCCTAAACCTCAGGCGTTACTTTCGGAACCAATACTAGTGGTCTATTAGACGCTCCCGCTACTTCCGCAGTTCCTTAACTCTCCATGCATTATCACACGCAATGGCTCTCGTGACATCCATTATTTCCATTTACAGGCCTCATCGAGCCACACCGTCATAGGTTCACATGATATTGCGCTCAGCTTCAGCGCTAACGAATGTTCCTGCCTACACGCATATGACGATGATTCCTCGTGGTAATTACACGTTTGTTGGTTTTTTTACGACTCGCAAGACGGGTCGCAGGCATTTTGAGGCACACATCGAACGTGGTCGAACAACTTATTCATCCGCAAATCATTGGCTTGAACTCAACTGGTGCGCCGCAACTGAGCCTGGCAGATGTGAAATATTCATCTTCAATCTTTCACGCGGTTTGACACATCCCCGTCGGCTGTGCTAATAGCACTCCTATATCTTGAGTGATAGACGCGAAACTTGCTACCCCGCCAGACGGCTTCATTTTATAACCGTTTTTCAATAACTTGCCATTTCTGCAATGAAGAACTGGTGTCGCTTGTCTTTCCTGGCGCTTCTTGCCCTACAAGAAGTGGTCCTTGCAGAATATGTGAAAACCAAGAGATCAACTGTCGCTCCAGTCGGCGCAGAGGTTCTGACGGTGGGCGTTATTGGGGGTGAGCAATCATGTCTGATCAGCAGGAACAATCATTGACCAGGACTTCGTAGATTATGGTTGGACAGGATGGACACCGAGTCCTCCACACTTCTGCCTTGAAGTGCTTCCAGAGCTACAGGCTGCTGGACTCGTTATTCCCAACGAAGTCCTAAACGATTGTGATCCTGGAGACATAATGTACCTAACCAATGCCACTGCTTTGCAAGGTGAGTACCCCTACTTTTTCAATACAACGTAGCTAAGCCATATGAAGTCGAAACATCATCGTATGTCGGACAAATATGCGCGATCAAAAACTGCACTGCATTTGTACGTGAGCTTTGAACGTAGTCTTGGATGAAACGCTTATCTCGAAATAATTGCAGGTCTCTGTTGGTGACAACTTTTATGATAGCGGTGTTGATTTTACCACTGGCGGAATAAAACGTTTCCAAGAAGCGTGGGTCGATATGTACAGCCAAGGAGTCTTTGAGAAATCTCCTTGGTATCAATGTCTCGGCAATCATGATGTTGTGAAAGGTCAGAGTGGCATCGACTTCCAGACTCAAGTTGCTCCACTTTATGACCCTCGTTGGAACTTTGTGGGTTCAGCATACCTGGACCTTTGGAACATCTGCTGAACGCTTCTGTCAGGGAACACAAGGGCTTCCATATTGGACGTACGATTTGACAGGCAGTGATTGGACTGCTACTTTCGTTGTCTTGGACTCAGATTGCTTCCTGAGCTCGTATATAAAGGTTGTGGATTTTGTCACATGCAAACCAATGACTGATGGATGACGAGTCTTTCAGAATACCTCTGTATATGCGAACCCGTACACGGAAGCCTGCTATGCCGACCGGCAAACGCAGATCGACTTCCTAGCCAATGCATTCGCTGAATCCACGGCTACATGGAAATTCCTTCAACTCCACCACCCTTACGTGTCTTCAGCCGCCAATGAGACAGAACTTGCACCTCTCGTGGAGATTGTTATCCAGCACAATGGGATCGTTCTGAACGGTCATGACCACTGTCTCGCGCATTATTACGCAAATAACACTAACTTCATTCTCTCTGGTGCTGCGGGTTACCCTCAAGCCGGTGACTGCAACTACGGTGTTCCGCTTGGACCGTATGCAAAGTACTTGGCAGCGAATCCAATGGCTGGTATGGTTCTCACTTCCCCATATATTGATTTGGATTAACACTCCCTCAGCGGCGAACGGTTTCGTGACAATGGATATTAGCAGCCAGGTCATAAATGTTGAATATTACGTGCGGGACATGAGTTTCGAGAACGGGGATTTATACCCTGTTCAGTACGATCTCAACCCTTCATATGCATTCCAGATCACAGAGCACGCAACATAACCATTTTCTGAAAATCTGAAGATTTTTGGGTCACATCGTCCATATTTTTTGTGCATGGTTGACGCCACCAGGATAATATTTTATTTGCACTTTGAACCATAGCAACAGATTATCTTTTTTTCAGTCTTCCCTGTATATCTGATAGACGAAGACACTTGTTTCTTTATTTGACGTTGAGACTCGGTTGCCTTTGTAAAATGAGTGCCTGTTGTCCTTTCAAAGTACTTCTGCTTTGAGTCAAAGCTCCCGAAAACAGCGCGACACGCGACGTGATGGCACGCGTTCAATACACTGTCACGTCACGCCTCCTCTCTCACATCTCGCTGTCGAGCACCTTGACACTTGAGCAGTATGGCCGTCTTCGACGATGTGCACTATATTCTTTCCTCTTCTATACCGGCCGAACAGCGTAAGGAACTTTCGGGCTTGCTAGACCTTAATGGCGCAACGAGCGCACCACCACACACCCACCTTATTGCCCTTGCTGGATCGTACACTCAGCACGAACACGCGGGATCTTTGCATGTAGTATCAGGAATGTGGGTACAGCGGAGCATAGTTCTTGGAAAGCTTCAGCTGTGAGCGTTCTTTGCATCTTAGATTAGTATGAATGGCGACTGATAATCGTTGCCAGTGAACAGTACTATTCACCTGATCCAACAATGATTTTTTCGGGTATCGTTGCCTGTGCCACCGATGTGAGAAAATATTTATTATTCTACGTCGTATGATCTAAACTTCATGCGCAAGCTCTCCCCATCGGACCTCGAAGTTCTCTCAGCAGGGATCACGTCGCTAGGAGGACAATGGCGAACGGGCCTAACGCGGGATGTGACACATCTCTTTGCATTGCATGAACAAAGTGAAAAGGTACTTTCTATCTTTGCTTCATTGCGTACGATGATTCAATTATTCACATTGCTACCCGTGACCGCGCAGTACCAGACTGCCATGCATTTTGCGCCACACACCCACATGTCGGTCCTTACACCGCATTGGTTCGATGACTCAGTTCGCGTTGGACGTCGTGTACCTGAAGGTCCTTACTTATGGCCTGATCCAAAGGTATTGCAACCTGGCGTCCAGGTTACAATGGACGAGGATGATGTAGAAATTGGAGAAAGTGGGAAAAGAAAGAGAAAAAAGAGTGGCGAGACAGGATTGAGCAGTCCTATGGCTACGGAGGAAGTAGAGCGCAGAGAAGGGATCAATGTGTGGGCAGGAAGGAGATTATTATTGTCTTGCTCGCTGGAATTGGGACAAGGCCATCGTGAAGCTGTGGAGGCGAATATACAGAGAGCGGGTGGAACTGTTGTCAAGGTCAAAGGTAAAGTAATTTTGTCCTCGTCGTGACATCTCCCTGACCTTATCTCACATGCCTAAGGCACTAGCACAAATGAGGAAGCACAAGAGAACGAGGAAGCGACACTTGTAGATGAATGCGATGTTTTCGTCACGCGGTACCGCTCTGGGAAGGCATACTTCAAGGTGTTTATCCTGTTTGACTCAAAGACCTCAGCGCAACATCTTACAGTGATCATGTTATAGGCGGCCCGTTCATCTCGTCCGATTTTGGTCGGAAACTTGACTTGGATGTTTCACGTTGATGCGTCTGGCACGCTGAATGATCCCCATGATAGTTTGCTGTGGTACCCAGTTCCAAGAGGAGGTATTCCTGGTTTGAACGAATGCGTGAGCACAATCCATCACGAGCCCTGTGGTTCTTTTTCTCACTCGCCTCTCAGGAAATCACCGTCACCAATTATACTGGTGCCGCGCGAGATTATTTGAAGAAACTTATTCAAATCATGGGCGCAAGGTTCACGCCAAGTATGAGCCAGAGCAACAAGGTTCTGGTAGCTGGCTAGTAAGTGTTTAAAGAAAGCAAATTACCAGTTATACTGATGGCTCATAGTTCTCCTTCACCTAAAACGCAGCGAGCAGTTGCGTGGTCGATACCAATAGTCAATCATACTTGGCTCGAAGATTGTTTTATTGCATGGAAGTGGGTACCTTTGCGCGAACGCTCTCAAGCTATCGTTGTCTTTGTTCTAAATCCACGGGCTGATGGTTTGCGCTTAGGAACCTTACTGTCGGTGTTGATAAATACATTCTCTTTCCCACCGGCGTCGATTTTGGGAAGATGCTCATGACCCCAATTGGTGAGTTTGGACTGCGCTATGTATTTTGAAGTGTTCACTATATGTAATGTGCCATTCCGAATAGGTGGCACAAGTGCGAGCTCTATTTATACGGCGTCAGGGGGACCTGTTCCAGGCGGCCGGGGAGTCGGTCCCATTGATATTGACTCAGAGGAGCAAAGGGATGCGGAGTACCGTAGGGGAATGGTCAATGGGGCGGAGCCCATCACCTCATCCAGAGAGACCCCCAGATCAAACGCCAAAGTCAAGACACCATCCAGCAAGTCGAAGCCAAAGGACATCGATGATGATGGTAGCTCACCTCCAAAAACACCCCAGTCAAAGCGGAAGCGTAATGCTCTCGCTGCTCACCAAACCACGGATACGAATGCGGGAGACGTTAGAGAGGTGGAAATTGCTGTTAATTTCGGCGATGACGAGGATCTCAACGTTAATGACGCTGGTGATATAGCGGCCAGCGTGGTTATGGATGTCGACGATGAACATGTTTCCCCTTCCAAGACACTGAGACATCAGAAGCCGAAGCCGAAATCCTCAGGGAAGTTGAAGAAATCGCTAGATCAGCAACTAACTCTTGAAGACGAGAGCGGCGTGAACAAGTATTGACGGTAGCTCAAGACCTACGAAACCGCGACCACGCAAACGTCCAAGGATCATACGAGAAAGCACTGCGTCTGATGCAGTCTGGTGATGTTGTGGAGGTGTACGAAGGGCTAGTGACCGGGTGGTTCAAAGAATTCCAGGGCAGATCGACGAGAGCTCTGCGGATGACACAGCTCCCCTCAAGGCTGAGACCAAAGCTAGTGGGAAGTCTAAAAATCTCTCTAAATCAAAGGAAAAGACTGAGCCTCACAAATCTGGTCGTCCATCTCCTCGCGAGCGTTCCAACTCTGCGTCAACCCATCTAAGCAGGCCAATCCACAAGTCCTCGACACCAATAAAGACAGGAATGAAACCGAAGCCTAAGCCGAAGGAAACTCCTCAACGCGCCTCATCCTTGTCTGATGATGATGATGATGAAATTTTTGCCCGGCCTGTAAAGCATCACTCTGCTACATCCAGTGCCAAAGTAAGAGCAAAAGAGCCGGAGAAGGAGCCGCTGACTACGTCCTCAAAAGCCGCCAAGGAGAAACAGAATGCTCGCGCTCGATCTCCACCTCTTTCTATTACCCGCTCACCCTTCGCCTCCTGTAACAACATTTAGGACGCCGAAACGTACAGTATCCGTGCTCATTCCACCTCTACTGAAAGACTACTTGTCTCCAAGCCCACGCAAGGACACGCCCACGAACAAAGAAGGAAGGTCAGAGCTTACTAGAACGAACTCCATTCATGCATCTGCTGCCGAGGCGTCAACAAGTGGATCCAAGCGTGGACGTCCTTCGCTATCGAAACCTTCAACTTCAACACCTCTTATGAAGAAAAAGTCGAAGTCCAAAGCGCGTAATCAGTCAGAATCGGAACACGAGGCTGAGGTTTCCGTGGTTCTGGATACTTCTACCTCACGTGGTTTACCAAAGCGCAGTGCTGCCAACAAAGCGACGAGCAAACTGAGAGATGAAATTATGCCCGACGTCGTTAATTACGAGAAGGAGCGCAAGAACGCCAAGCGAAGGCATAGCTCCGGTCTCAATGACTCTTTCATTCCCCTGCGTGACAAAGAGGAAGTCGAAGAGGAACGAGACAAGAAGAAAGCGTAAAGTGGGGAAGGCTCATGCAGAGGACACGGACGATGAAGCAGAGGTCGAGGACATCATTTCTTCATCTATTCCTCGAACAAAGTCAATGTCGAAGACGGGCACAACTGAGGGCAAGGGTACGAAGAAAAGAGCGGAAGAGGGAACGAGTATTGACGAAGCCGAGCCGTCTAAGAGAAAGGGCGCGAGGGCGATTCAGAACAAAAACGTATCGCATGCCAACGATAGTTCTGGCCCCTCTCAAGAATCTGGAGCAGTCAGGGTGATGACGACGGGCATCCAGCTGACTGACGACACTATTAAGGTAAGAAGGTTCTTTGAAATAGAGTATCGACTAATTGACAAACATACAATAGAGGTTGAATAAATTGGGCGCAAAGATGACAACCAAACCCAACGACTGCACGCACCTCATCGCAAAGGGAATAGTCCGTACGGAGAAGTTCTTATGCGCTATCGCAAGTTCCCCGTTTGTGTTAACAGAAGGATGGGTCAATTCGAGCGTGCGAAGTGGCAAACTTCTACGTGAGTAACTGATCCTAAACATCGGTGTTTTCTGATCGACCACTGCAGCGGAAACGGACTTTTTGATATCTGACCCCGAATCGGAACGGAAATGGAACTTCAAGCTCTCCGCTTCTCTCGAGCGCGCTAAACGTGAAGACGGAGGGGAGGGCTTGCTGAAAGGGATGACATTTTATGTGACCCCCAAAGTCGAGATTGACTTGAAGTTGCTCAAAGCTGTCATAGCATCTGCTGGTGGTCAGGTGGGTTGTATTAACACTTGCGTCGAGTACATTGCATCATGACGCTTCGCGCATAATCAGGTTCAGACATCCAAGCCGACGACTCGGATACTAAAGGCGAACAAAAACCGTCACGTGATCTCTTGTCCAGCAGACCAATCGATCTGGCGACCATTGGTCGAGGAAGGATATACTATATATTCCACGGAGCTCATCCTGCTAGCCGTACTTACTCAGGAAAAACGGTGGAAGGATGACAACTGCATCGTTTCCAAGCCTTCCTCGTAAGGTACATGTAGAATACACTCATCTTCTCATTCTCGAAGTGTCATCATACAAACAGACTAGCCAGCTCACGTTTCACAGCTTCCGAAAAGATACACTAGATGCAATGATCAATCAGCCCTTATACTAATTCTTGGCTAAGTCAATCATACGAGTCTTGATTCCAATCGTGTGGTGCGCTTGCGATTGCTCGAGACTGCATGCCTACAATATCGGATCGCCACCACAACGTTAGTCTCGTCACCAGCCGCCTTGTCTTGCGCGAGAGTTGCGGTGGGATGTGGCTCAGACAAGGGTGAGACAAGGCGTCTGGTAACACTTCCTACAGAGCCAACAAAAACGGCGTTCAAACTTCGACCATCACCAAACAGGCAACCGTAGCATTGGTGAGGAGGCGACTGCAGAGTATCAAACGAAGAAAATACTACAAAAGAACAGATTCTGCGATTGAGATACAGCGAAATACATTCTGATATGTAGTGAGACACAGTAAAGTGATCAAGCAAAATCGCCCTTCACAACGATGTCAGTTCTCTCAAAACTTCATCAGTTTGACTGTGGTGGAGTTGACCTGGATGATCTCAAACACCGCGCTGAAGTCTTGGCTGTGAAGCATTCACATGGTAACTTGAGGCGGCTGCTGCAGTTCTCGAGTCTTGCTTGATGTCGGAACCGGGAGTGGCAAGACCATCTGTTTCCATCTGCCACTGTTGATAGATGAACTTGAATGATTGTCTCACCATTGATGGCGTTGACGATGATTGATCGGGTGCGACAACTTTGATCTCACTGTTATGCACTCCGAGAGAGATGTGCAAGGCCGAGCGACGGGTCACGGCGAGTCTAGCGCGCGAGCGATAGTGGCATAATCACCACGAGTTATGTGAGGAAATTTTTCCATGACGTGCCGCAAAGTAGGAGCAATGACGGGCAACAAAAACACAACCAGATACTGATCATGAACAGCTCGCGACTCGAACCCGAGGGACCTCAAATAAATTGTGTAAAACGCAGGAAGATACACGGACGAGCGAGGACGAGCGTCAGTCACATCAGGAAGCTCCTGATTCAACTTGACTCCAGGCTGGTCACGGAAGTGTCCAGAATATTGTCCAGAACCATGATCAGTGTAATATAAACAACAGATCCATGTACTAAAATGTCCAGGAACTCCCTTTACCTAAGGCCTCGTGTCCTGGGCGTTTAACGATATACGAAACCAAAGCAAGTTTAGCTCAGGCCCCGTACACGCACTGCCTCTGAAATCCAGATCAAGACGCCCATACGCTCCCCATCAAGTTGTGCTCAACTGAGCCTCAACACCATCCACCTCGAGTAAAATGACAGAAGCAGAACAGCCTGCCATTCAAATCTCCATAGCTAGTCGAACATTTGAAGGTCATGAAAATAGTATCCCTGCAGCCGCAGTCTTCCCTGATGGATCTCGCATGGTGACAGCCTCATGGGACAAGACGCTTCGCCTGTGGGACCTGAGGAACGGTGTTGTATTGAAGATAATGGAGGGGCATCGCAATGCAGTACACAGAGTTGCAGTGTCAAGAGATGGGCAATTCATGGCAAGCGGTGATGTGCGTGGAGAGCTCATCGCCTGGAACAGAAACGGCGAATCTCTCACCGAACCCATCCAAATACACTCCAGAGAGGTCTACTCGCTTGACTTTTCCCCAGACAGTACATTACTAGCGAGCGGCTCATGGGATACCACAGCGAAGCTTTGGAATACACAAACATGGCAGGTGCAAGGCAATCCAATGCATTGTAGCGCTGACATCTTCTGCGTTCGGTATTCACCGTCTGGTAAACATCTTGCCATCGCAACCGCGTTAGATATCCAAATATGGAATTCAGGCGAGAGAGAACTCCAGTGCATCGCAAAATTCCAGGGTCGCTCTGCGTTGGAATCAAATAATATTTCACTCGCGTGGACGCCCGATGGCAAACAGCTTGTCTCAGCTGGTGATAGACGTGATCCCGTCATACGGATCTGGGATTCATTGACCTGGATGCAGGTCGGTGAGCTCCGGAAGAGCTATCCTGGGACTCTCAACTTTGACCCTACCGGCACCCTTCTCGCGTCCGCATCTGACAATCACCAGGTTCGCCTTTGGCGGCTTTCGGATCGAAGAACCATCGCCACATTCAAGCACACCAATCAGGTGCTTTGCGTCACCTTCTCCACGGATGGCAAGCACATCCTGAGTGGTGGAAAAGATAAAATGATGTCAAAGTGGAAATTACCTTTGCCGGAGGACATTCTCGAGGACCAGGCGTGCAAGGCTTGTCTCCAACCTTCTCTTTTACCACATAATCTGACCATGTGTGATGCAGATTCTCACCATCAGCGAGACAGTTCGCGATGCATGCATAACTGGGGACTTGATTGCTGCTGAGAGGTTGTTAACACAAGAGATCGCTGATACTAGTAACGACCACAACTCTTACGCGAATCGCTCGTTTGTTATGGCGAGAAAAGCTGACTGGGACCGCGCACTTGACGACGCACTCAAGGTGAAATACACTGTCCCGTCGTGACCTTTTAAGGAGGCTAACTACTATGGCGATATAGAGCATCAGCATTCAGCCATCCTTGGTGGGCTGTATCTCTAAGGGCATCGCCCATTGTGGAAAACAACAGTTCCAGGATGCGATGAAAGCATTTGACCTCGCGTTCATGTATGTAGACGCAGACTTGAATAAAACCCGTCTTCTACTCTTGATTAAGGTACGTCGATTGTGTCTCATATACCGGCTGCCCACACAATAGCTGTCAGGCCATCGCCCTGTTCAATGCAAATAAACATGACGAGGCAATTCTACGGGTCCAAAACCTAGCTACCACTCGTCCCAATCCGAATTCTCTTGCCTGTAGTATCGTGGAGGTGAGTGCTCCTGACACAGTTAACTCCAGGTTTATGTGTCGATACTGATTGTACTAACCTTGCGCTTCAGGCTTATCTACACGTCCAAATGGGAATGAATGCATCAACAAACGCACGTCATGACGAGGCTGTTGACCACTTTACTGCTGCTATCGGCACGATTAGTTTCTCGTCTATGGCGGCAATCCATTTTAAATATGATATCTTTGTGATGGTAAGTTGATTACAATGCAATTGGAAATCATTTTTCACGCTGTGTGCTTTTTTCTAGTTATTCGGGTGGGATCTCAAGTCCTTGTGGCAAACTGCACACCAAAATGGGTGTCACGCACTCCTTCGGGCTGGTAGACTTCCAGAAGCCATTACAGCATACCGATATATGATGGATAGTGCTAATGAAGCTACGAGAGCACGCTGTCTTGATTGGTCCATTGGCAAGTGTTCATGATGTCAACCGGATATAATTTTCAACCCTATTTCACTCAGTTTTTAAGCAAGATTGTAGCATGCTCTACGCCTCTGCTGGAGTGACTGAGCTCGCTTCGGGCGGAGATGATGCCCTTGCTGCGGGTAATTACGACAGGGCTATCGAGCTTTACTCTGCGGCGATCGACCTCGATTTTGCAACCTATACCATCTTTGCGAACCGCAGTAAGGCGAGATCGGAAAAAATGCTGTGGGACGACGCACTCCTCGATGCGGAAAAGGTACGATCTCAAATGACATTTCGTATTTGACGCTCATTTTGGTGTCACGCAGGCAATCGAACTCAACCCCTCATCTTACTTGGGATATCAGTCAAAGCATTCAGCACTTCATGGCACACACCGATATGATGAAGCTATCGAGGCCTTCAAAATCATGCTCTCCAAATTGGAAAATGCTCCCGACACGGAAACAAAAAGTACGCCCCTAATAGCATGCCTTTAAACTCTGTTTACTCTTTGTCTAGACTTGCACCAACAGTATGTTAGTCCAGCCAGAGCAGAAGGAGCTATTCAAGAGACAATCAAGGCTCAACTCGACGATGCTCCACATCGACTGATCAACACCTCCGCTGGGCGCTTGTGTAATCGCGAGGCACAAATCAATGCCTTCAGAATGAGTGCAGAGTACAAAGAACTTTTGTCATCCACGATGAATCATCCGGACCCTCCAATGAAGCGCATCCAAGACGTGGTGGCGATGTACTTCCGTTATGTCATGCTATCGCATAGATGGGAAGGGACGGAGCCATTGCTGTATGACATCCAGGGCAAGGTGATATACGAGTCGGACTCAGTTGGCGGCATCGCGAAATTGCAGTCATTCTGTAAAATTGCTCGTGATAAAGGGTATCACTGGGCATGGATTGATACGTGTTGCATCGACCAGACCAACAATGTCGAGGTCCAACAATCGGTCAATTCCATGTTTATTTGGTATCGTCACTCAGCGCTTACCATCATCTACCTGTCGGATGTTCCACCTTCGTCGCCGCCTGGCGCGCTCGCAAGTAGCGCTTGGAACACGCGAGGATGGACAGTCCAAGAATTCCTCGCCTCAACATTTGTCCTATTTTATCACAGGGACTGGTCCCTATATCTCGACGATCGCTCTCCAAACCACAAAGATTCCATTGCAATCATGCAGGAGATGGGACATGCCACAGGTATAGATGCACAGGCTCTTATCGCCTTCCGTCCGGGGATGAGAGATGCCAGGGGGAAACTCCAATGGGTGTCGGCCCGTGTCACCACGTGGCAGGAAGATATCGCATACTCATTGTTTGGTATCTTCGGCGTCAACCTGCCTGTTATTTATGGCGAGAAGAAGCAAAAGGCGCTCGGGAGGCTCTTGCAGGAGGTCATATCTCAGTCGGGTGACATCAGCGCCCTGGACTGGGTGGGACAATCATCCGAATTCAATAGCTGTCTCCCAGCCGACATTGCTTCATACAAAGCTCCGCCATACACTGCGCCATCTCTGTCCGAAGATGACATTCAGACATCAATATCCTCGCTCCGACGTATCCCGGCTGTGAATTTGGCATTGAAACTTTACGCCCTGCTTGACAACCTGAATGCGCCTCGTTTCGGGAACTGCAGACTGCATCTCCCTTGCATCGCATTTCGTGTCACAGCAGTCAAACTGAGTCGCGCTCAGGACCAAGAGATAAAGATATGTAAAGTCAAGGCCGATGGGCTTCATGACCTGCTGATCACCACGAAGGACAAGGTGAATCAGTTCTCATCACCGCGACCCGCTATGCAAACACTCTTGCTTGTTCGTCCGTGGAACCGTTATCTCCTAGAGCCTCCTGACTTCGAGGAGCCGTCTGGCTCGGCAGGGCTGCTTGATGTTGATGACGATACGCAGAGCGATGAAGATTATTGGTCTGCGTCCGGGTCTCCATCTCCATTAGATTCGCCTGGAGGGCTCCCTGAAGCGCAGGAGTTGATCGATTCGGAACTGAGCGATCGAGCCTTGCGATTAAGTGTTCACCTTGGACAGCCTTTTAGAGCATTTTTGCTAGCGCATCAGCGCGGCGGAGAATACACAAGAATTGCGTCAGATTATGATATTATTGCACAAGTCAAAGACCTTTCTTCTATTCTGGACATGGTCAAGACGCTAGAGATATTATAGCAGTATGGATTTTTGGTGTTATTTATATCGATAATCCAAGGGCGTGAATCTAACATATGAGACGAGCAATATTTATTCATGAAATGTTCTCAAAGGTGATCAATAACACAACCGACCGCTTATATGCTCTCCAGCCAAAAGCTGGCCTGTGTGGCTAACGGTTGCGAACGGGATGAATACGAGGGACATAATCTTCATCATGAGTCAAGTCATCGTCAGCATCGTTGTGTTGCAAATGGATGTGTGAGATGCAATGGACTACAGCAAGAAAAATGAACCGGGAATGCCAGTTGACCTGGGCAAGACGAACATCGAAGATGATTGATTGGTGGGTAGTTGAGACTGACAAAGATGCAAGTGGAAATGTGATGGTGGCCGTTGACGTTCTCGCGTGGATCTGTGTGTGAACGTCTGTGAGTAGTGGCCTGCGATGAGAGAGAGTAGTCAGAAGGTGGTGACAATGTGGCAGAAAGCTGCAAGGAGAACGTCAAGTCAAGTGCGAAGGAAATAAGAATAAGAGGAGAATTTCTAAGGCATACCTTTGTGCAAGTCTTGCGGTAGTTTGTAAGCACTGCATGGAGAAGAGAAGCCACGTGCTGCACAGCCGGGCCTTGGGATTTTGCCGCATCATACCGCATCCTGCCGCACCCTACTTAATAGTGTCTTATATCCCTGTATAATATGTCTATGTCGTCCATAAAGGCCATGAATATGATTATTGACGCAAAAATATCATAGTGTATGTTTTTGAGTTAGAATTACACTGATACAACAGTGATAGTATACTTGATGGGTGCGGCAGTGATGCGGTAGTGATGCGGTAGTGATGCGGCAGTGATGCGGCAGTGGCTGTGCACCGCACCCACACCAACGCACCCATCTTATGCAGTACACTTGCAGCACCTCACGCGAAACTTGGTTCAACTACTAAACAACTCCTCACACAGTTCAACGCCTCAATTCCTATTGTTCAAGATATGTCTTCATTGGTGACATGCCTTGACAACTTCACTACAGCACATCTTTGGGCCTCAAACATGATTCTGTGCCCCTGCGAGAACGGATATTAGGGTCTAAGGTATGTATGTGATGGGTATATGGCCTTTAGATAAGACTCATTACTTTCACAGTACACAAGTTCTATGGACTACTGTCAACTTAAGACACCTTATGTGCCTTCCTTGGTTGTGGCCGCGGTTTCGGCTTTTGGGTCTGTCTCTCGTTTTTAAGAATGACTTCGGGCTCACTTCCTTCACTAAAGTTTGGCCCACACTATTGTGTAAAGTGTTTCAGAGCAATCCATGCTACAATATGACAACAACTCATGTCCACTTCTCCTTCGAATTCGGGTGCATATGGATCTCGATCACCATGATTCCAGTACTCAGGAGGCCCTCGTATGGATTCCATCGGTCTTGGTGAGCATCAGCATCTTTTACCCATTGTTCATTCCCTGCAGCGCCTGCAGCCAATGAGAGCTCAAACATTCGTTGTTCTAGTATACCAAGGCACTCCAAGTTGACGTCTATATCCATCAAGGACAGATCACAACTTAGTTGGAGGTCAAGCCAGGTATCACACCAGTATCATGCCAACAACTTGAACATCATTCATGAAAAAATATGTTAGCATCTGCAAAGAAAGAACATTGTTATTAGTAGCTGTGCGAAAGAGTATGGTGCGTGCCGCATTGTGTCTCATGCAATGAGTACTACGTGCCAGTAGTAGCCAGAGGGCGCATAAGCGAGACAGGCCGTTGCAAGGAGGGTGATCTAGTGACAGTCTGAATGTCAATGTCTCATGCAGTACATACAGTAATGATATCAAGACTGACCATCAAGAAGCCACCACACCCACTACCGCATCCGTGCCACAGCATAGTACTCAATAGTGGTGCCGAAGTCCGGTTTGGTTTGGTTCTTAGGCCTCTAAATGCGAATGCCGAACTGGACCATCGGTCGCGTTCAGGCAAGGAGGACGAACACTGGACCGGACGCTGATGAACGCGTTCACAAGCGTTCGGTTCGAGTTCAGAACACGTTCAAACACTCGAATGCTACATATAAATTGACAAAAATTGCAAGAAATACATGAACAGTAAATGAGTAGCTAAATTTCATCCATGGCAGAGTGTTCGTGAGCAGCAGCAAACTCAGCTTGAACCGTTGCGGAAATATGGCCTTGACGGTACCCACTTTTCAACAGCTGTAGGGCCTCAAATGTTGTTGGCAACAACCGATTACGGCGCGTGGTCCCAGTGATGCCGCCACTCGAAAATGCTCGTTCAGATGCGACGACAGAGCCTTGAATAGCGAGGTAATCCTTTGCAATGCGAGAGATGGTGGGATATTGAATGGAATGGTGCTAAAGGCATTTTAAGTCAACTTGCAAGGAAACACAATGCAAAAAAACTCACGCCCCACCACGCCACTATATTCTCAACATCTTCTAATGGGGCAGCAAGGTACTTGTCGAGCTCCTGGTGAGGTCTTCGATTTGCGGTGTCATTTGCGACACGAGTTTTGACAGCATCGCACATCCAGCTATGGCCGTATGACCCCTGGCGAGCAAGCAAGGAAGGAGCCACAGCAGCTGGCTCTGCAGTGGCGGGCGAGACATTGCAATGATAATATTTGTCGAAAACCTTCCGCAAGCTTCTCATGCCCTCGTCAAAGTCGCGAGGCTCCCATTTACCCTTCGCGTATGCCACCTTATAGTTAGGATCGAGCGCTACATTGTACATTAGATAGGGCATCATAATAAATAAAATACATACCGAGGCAAATGAAATAAACATCAGTTTCGTCGATTTTGTGGTACCATTTGCGAATATTGTCGAGGCCAGAGTTGATCGCGGATGAAAAGTCGTCAAACTTTGATGAACCAGCCATGTTTTGCCAAGTTTGTTGGAGATACTCGAGGACTGGAATCGCGTGCCATACGGTAGGTTCGCGAGTCGCCGAAAACGATTGTTGAGCATTGGCAGGTTCCTGGTTATACAGTAGGTTAATACAACATTTGAGACTCGACTGGACACTCGCACATACCTGAAGCACGTCATGCATCAGTTCCAACTTCTTCCATTCTTCGGCTGAAAGCTTGAACACTCCATATGACTTGCCCTGCAACTTTGGGACTTCGTCACTGTCATCCGCCAGTTGTATGAATCTATTCACCCCCTGCCAGCAGATAAAATTGAGTTAGTATTGTGCATAGGGATGGTAATAGAAACCAACTGACTTTGCGTAGCTTAAGGGTGCGCTCCAACATACCAAAGAGCGAGGCCCATCGCGTGCGAATCCATTTCAAAAGCTCCAGCTTCGGCTCATTGACCTCGACACAGCACTGTTGGAAGAAGGTGCATGCTTGGGGAGATTTCCGAATCTAAAAAAAGGGTTCATTAAATAGTGTTAGTCAGACGAGGGTACACACATACCTGCGTAACAAGCGCAAGGGCTTTTCCTGCAGTGTCGGCAACCTCGAAATCAGTTGATTCTTCGTCTTCGTCTTCATCGGCCATGTTCTTGAGGAGAACGCTTGCTGGTGTAGGTGCGACCTCCTCGACAAAGTGTTTGGCGGCTAAGTGCAAGGCGTGCTCCATACAGCTGAATAGACATCAACATATATAGATCATGATATTAAATAGTTCACTTACCGCACGCGGTGCTCACCAGCAATCCATTTCTTGCCGGAAGGGTCGATAGCAAGAGCAACGGTCTGAATTGCTGTGTCGTTATTTGTAGCATTGGGTTCGGATGTCCATGAGTCGAACGTGATCGAAATTTTGCTATCAACTTCCTTAAGCTTCTCCTTCACACGTTGAACGGCAAGCTGCGCCCGTTCAAGAATTTCGTCTCAAGTTTTTGTGCGATGAGGAATGTCCCTGTCTGAAAGGGAAGGCCGGAGGTATTGAAGCAGCCGACGAAAGGGTCCCTTGTCAACGAGTTGGAACGCCTATCTATGGCATGAATATCCTAAGTCACAATTACAAAAAAAAAAAACACTCACCTCGTCCTCAGACACGATAAGCTCGACAATGTAATCCATTAGACCGGTCTTGGTGAATTCAGGAATTTTAGCCGTAAGGGAGGCATCTAATGTTTGCTGCGCTTCGTCAGTTGCTTTGCAGTTAGGAGGTATCGCCCGATCATGCATCTTGATACCTCGTTCGTTGCAGCGGTTGCGGTATATTGGAAAGTGACACTTTGCGTTTCGAGCGATATGGGTGCAGCGAGTCGAAACACTGCCTTTGAAAAAGCAGTGATTGGTGGGTACATCATTGGCTCTTAAATTGACATTAGTTATGCGTGTGACATTCAAAGTAAAAGTAAAAATGTACCTGCAGATCTCGCACCACCAGCCATCTTCGGGTTCTTGGGTGTGCGGATTGATGTGTCCCTTCTCCTGAGTAAATACTACCTTCAAATCCCCACTGCGCTCCTCTTTCTCCTTATGCTTGCGATCCTCACGATCCTTGTCTCCAAATACCTTGGTCCGCTCGTAAGCTTCTTCGGCCTCTTCTTCATCATCTGAGCAATCTTCTAGTGCAGGGGGTTCGTCGTCATCGTCATCATGGGACCCACGATGCACTCGCTTGGGTGCGGGCTGTCCTTGGGGAGGCACTGGAGCCACTCGTTTGGCAGCTTTGGCTGGAGCTGTGTTGCCAGCATTGCGGATTTTTTCTGTCAGTTTAACGGCTCGGCCTGAGCGAGACACGAAGGCAGTTAGCTTGCCATTGGATGCAGGAGGCGGAGGTGGAGCAAGCATGGGGGTGTCATCGTCGGGATCATTGTACCAATTGATGGCGCTAGCGTCTTTGAGTTGGCCATTGGATCCAAGTGCGCAAGACATTCTCGCAGCCAGAAGGGTGAATATTGTACCTGTAGTAGCTCATTTATACCAAAATTTGTGGTTAGAGATTAGAAAAATGCGATGCACCTTGAACATATTGTTGCCATGCAATGACTGCAACAGTTGATTGATGTTGAAGCAAAAGCAAG